ATGCATGTTCCCTTTGGTGGAGAAGTCATTAGAAGTTATGCTGCAAACCAGGGTAATGTTGTTAAAATGGAGAAAATGTGACACATGTTGAAATGACTCCGTGATCTTTATGCTTATCATAAATATGCACAGACACTTCTGCAAACAGCAGTTGTCTCTGCATTGGGAGTGTTGTGCAAAGCTTTTTTGTTTGAAGGGAAGAAATTAAACAGGCAGTTTGGCTCTTTGTGCTGAGACTCTGTTATGAAAGCTGTTATTAAAAACTACAAACATTTACTCACAATTAGGATAACACAGGACAAGGATTCTGTTAAAAAGCCAGAATATTGAGTTTTTTTAAATTAGCTTTTCTTCCAATCATTTTATTCAATTTAACACTTTTCCATGACTTTTTAGTGACCTTTAATTTAATTTAAATGACCTTTCACAACCTACAACTAGGGCTGAGCAATAAAACAATAATGATAATTAACACAATCTAATTTTCCTCACTAACAATGTAATAAATGCTCAATATATCATCAATAAATATTTGGTTTAATTCATTTGAATCACAAACAAATTAGCACTTAATTTTTCCATTAAAATATTTATTTTGTTGAGGAAAAAGGGACTCAAAAAAAGATTTAACTTTAATTTTACTCTTGCATATTTGTTGAAAAAGATTTTCTCATAATAGTTTTAAATGTTCCACCTCAGATTTGTGAAGTGATCCATTGTTTGGCATCAAGTGTTTGTCACATTCTGACCATAAAGAAAAGTTTAACCACATAATTAACTATCTGGTTTCTTCAATTTTCACTCAGACCAAAAATCAGCCTTTAACCTTGAAAGAAATAATGATTTGATATATTTCATGATCATTATCAATATCAAATGATATGAAATGTTTTTAGATAACATTATCGCCATATCACCCAGCCCTACCTACAACATAAAATTATTATTAAATGACATTTAAACACCAGCATTTTTTCCATTCACATAATGTCAGTTATTTATATATTATACTTCAAACAATCAGATTTTTTGACTTACAATCAATCAATAAAATATACAATTAGGGCTGCAACTAACAATTATTTTCATTATCTATTAATCTGTCAATAATTTTCTCGATTAATCGATTAGTTGTTCGGTCCAGAAAATTATAAAAAAATGTTGATTAGTGTTTCCTGAAACTCAAAGTGAGGTCCTTTTGTCCACATCCCAAATATATTTAGTTTACGTTACATTTCAGAAGCTGAAATCAGAGAATTCGGACATTTTTTCTTTAAGAAAAGGTCTCAAAGTGATTAATTGAATATTAAAATAGTTGCTAATTAATTTAATAGTTAACACCTAATTGATTCCTCAACTAATCGTTGCAGCTCTAAATACAATCTCTGCCCCTATATGGCAAAATCCAATTTCATGACTTTTCCAAAACTTTAAATTAATGCACTTAATTCCATAAATTCTCCAGGCCTGGAAAATAGGATTTTAAAATTCCATGGCTTTTCCAGGATTTCCATTACTGTGGGAAAACGGTCAACAGAGAAAACTTAAAACTCATGGTTCGTCTTTCGGCATTGTGTTTTTCGGGCAGGTTGTCTCAGAGTAATATTTCAACTCAAAGAGGTCAGCAGGAAGCAGAGCTGTGCCCATCTCCAGGGCCCCTTGCTGTGTCACTCACCCTCTTCAGGATATTGAGGCGGTACTTCAACTTGGAGTTTTCCTCCCGCAGCTCCTCCAGATGAGGAGAAACACTCTGGTTCTGGTCTAGTGGGTTTTTAAGACTCTCAATCTCTGCAGAGAGACTCTGGATCTCCTGCTCCTGAAAAACAAAACAAAAAACAAACAAATTTTCATTTGTTTGAATTGAATAATATGTCATGTGACTTTGATAAATCTGAATACACTTGTTAATTCTCTGTTTCAACAAGCTGAATTTAAATCTTAAACATTTTAGCCATACATTAAAGCTCCCCTTCAGGCTAGAACCATTTTAACCTTGAGGCAGCTTAAAGTCAGAATGAAACCAAAAGTTGTCAGCGCATGATGCAACTATCATTAAAGTTGCAAACTGACAGGAAGGATCCCTGAGAACTGGAAACTCTATAAAAATCAAGACTACAATACATTTTGTTGGTTTTAAAAATATATATTTAATGATTTAACACTATTTTCTCAACATTAGATCGAGACAGAAATGATCTATTAGCTGCAGACTTAAAGTAATATCTAAATCATGAAAAATGTTGCATTGTAACCAACCAGGATCCTGTTCAACAACACTTTGATAAATCTGAATACACTTGTTAATTCTCTGTTTCAACAAGCTGAATTTAAATCTTAAACATTTTAGCCATACATTAAAGCTCCCCTCAGGCTAGAACCATTTTAACCTTGAGGCAGCTTAAAGTCAGAATGAAACCAAAAGTTGTCAGCGCATGATGCAACTATCATTAAAGTTGCAAACTGACAGGAAGTATCCCTGAGAACTGGAAACTCTATAAAAATCAAGACTACAATACATTTTGTTGGTTTTAAAAAATATATATTTAATGATTTAACACTATTTTCTCAACATTAGATCGAGACAGAAATGATCTATTAGCTGCAGACTTAAAGTAATATCTAAATCATGAAAAATGTTGCATTGTAACCAACCAGGATCCTGTTCAACAACACTTTAATAAACTAGATAAGATATAAAGATATTCTGGTAAACCCGGCACCAAAATTAGACATGACTTTGACATGAAAACACTCTTCTGCCGATACATACCAACAGCGGGCTAACTTACTCGACAACCTACCGTTAACTAATAAAAGACGAATCCCAAAGTTTAAATTACTAAATATAAGTGGATTTTGATGTAAGAGTTGTTAGCCGATTTCGAGAATCGGTGACCGCCTACAAAACAGACACTTTTTTGTTCGGTTATCTACGTATTTTTGCCTGACAAGCACAGCTACATTAAACCAAGTGTTTTTTTAAGGAAGTTTGGCGCTGGTGTGAGACGTTAGCATTCTGCCAGACGCCGGTGGTCTCACACTAGCTAACGTTAGCTAACAGTCTCCACAGACCGGCCGCTTACCTGCTGTAGCAGTCGAGTCGTGTACTCAGCCACAGGGTCTCCCATTTTTATGAAACACCTAAAACGAAACTCTTCTGTTGATTTGCTGCGGAATCTCGTGGCTGATGAAACTTAACGCTGATAAGCGACACACTTCCGGTAGAGGAGACGTTTTCTTCTTCTGTGGTTAATTGGCCAAACCATCGTAGGTGGATACCGCCACCTGCTGGGTGTGTGTAGAACAGGTTGAAGTCCAGTGGGTCAAAGTGCACAAATAGGACATTTACTCTGCATACAGCTTTTAAGCACTTGAGTATTTCCATTTCATGGTAATTTATAGACTACTTCCAGTCAACTAGGCTTCATTTCATAGGTAGATATTGTACTTTATGGCACTAAAGTAATTTCTTTTAAAATAAACATAAACTTATAAACCACCACACATTGTTGAAGATTAAACCAGTAGTTTCGAATTCTTAGAAAAAGTTGTCTCGTTGTCATGTTTCAGATGTTTTCTTTTGTTAGCAGAGACATTTCCCCTTAAAAACTTCTCACATGGTTTCACTTAAATAACTTTTTTAGGCCAAAACAGCTCAAATTATCTGATATGTTTCAACAAAAAAAACAAAGACTAGAGAACATCTTTCCCATTAATCATCTCACAACCTCTCAAATTTATCTTGTGACCCCTTTGTTGGGAACCACTGGACTAAACTAGTGAAGTGTATATAAAGTATTATACTGAAGTAAGTACATTTTGCTGATAATACTTTTGTACTTTTACTTAAGTAAGGGTTTTGACTAAAGGACTAAAAACTTATTTGTACATTTTGGTACTCGTACTAATGTATGTGAGTATTTCTTTTCTCACTGGCTGGAGATAGTGTTCAATCAGTCTACCTGTATTGTGTTTCTCAGAACTAACACAAACTTTAACCCAGAGATTGAATTGCTTGATGTTTTGAACTTTTTTTATATAACAAATCTCAAATTGAAAACCTGAAATAACATGTAAAGACAGGTGAAGAAACAACAGACCCTCTCCTGCTCAGACTGGCCTGTCAGAATATCCGTACAGTCCCAAACATTTTGTAACTGGATTTATCAGGTGAATCTGAATCCTACATGTATATAATCCATTAAAACTTTTGACTACAGCTGTAGTCAAGTTTCTTCATGTCCATCCTGTAAAACAAAATGTGCAACATGTGTGACCTTTTGTTTTGGAAAAAAAAAGGTTGCAAAGTTCAAACATGATTTTTTATCAGTTAAGAAACATCTTAAATATCAGGTATTTTTGTTCTCTCGGCCTGATGTCAGGAAGTTAATCCATTTCATTTTGTGATTCATTATATTCAGGGTGAAGCCATAAAGAATAATAAAAACAATCCTGCACAGCTGCTCGGCTTTTTAACAACATCACATCAGTCCTGTCTTTGATTTTAAGGTTTCACAGATCACATTTAAAGCACTTCATGGTTCTGCTCCTAGCTACATTGCTAAATTGCTGCTCCCGTGTGAACTCAGCCTCGGGCAGGGTTCTGCTGGCTTTCCCTAGGTCTAGACTAAAGATGACCCGGCTTTTGCAGTCAGAGCCCTTCGGCTCGGGAACTCCCTCCCTGAGAATCTGAGGGTGGCAGGACCGGCGACATCTTTGAAATCAATTCTCAAAACAAATCTCTTTAAAAAGCCTTTTAATAACTCTTATTAATTTCCAAATTGTCTTAACTGTTTATTATTGCAGTTATCTCTGCTCTTACTCCATTTTAACTTTACACATTTTATTTGCCTCAGTCCTGAAATGTTTTAAATCTGTGTTCAACCATGTAGAACTTTGTGACTTTGTTTTGACAAGTGCTGTGTCAATAAACTATTATATCTGTACTCAAAGGTAAGATCAATAAAAGCAGTACAAAATGCAAATTCTCGACTCAATCATTAAAATAGAAGAGAAGAACTTTTTTTTATTTGTTGTGAAACTACAAAACACATTGTTTGGTTTTTTTTTGTGCTGGTGAAATATTTACAACTCTGGTTGACAGTACAGTGTCTGAGAATAAAATTCACAGCTTTTCGGGACTCTACTGGCAAAAAAAAAAGAAAAGAAAAAGAAAAACAGGAAAAGCACACCCAAATCACAAAGTGCAATAAATACATGCTGTACGTTTCTCATAGCCGCCTCCAGTACACATGACCACGTTCATCAACAGTCGTAATACAGACTCATTCGGGAAAGACAAAAAAAAAAAATGCACTTGAACTTCAAAAAGAAAGCAAACATGAATTGCATCACAACCTACATGATGAAAAAGAAATTATCTGTGACTAACAGCATTCGTGTTTTTCTCTGAATGATCGTGATTTCTCGTGGCAAAAACCTACATTCCTTCATCCAGATGTTTTTTGTCTTTTTCAATTTGGGGTTAAACATTCGGTCGATTGTGACACAAGTTCAGCTGACTTTTTAAAACAGACAACACTGTTCCTCAGACAACGCCGACTCCTATTCTTTAGAACTACTCGCTCTACGGTGGAGGAAAACAAAACCAACAGTTTACATTAGGAAAATTAATGCAAACGCTTCTCTACATTTCCAGCTTCTTCTTTCAGATCAGGCCATGTTTGGACATTTAAGACAAAAAATGGTTTACATGTTGCTCTCCGAAAAGGCACACTCCCTCACATAACTCTAAAGGCTTTCATTCATTTCACAGTGTTCCCGCTCCAGTAAAACCCTCAGCCCCGCCAGAGTTCAGCGCTGCGTTCACACTGCAGGAGGACGTGCGAACCGGATGTTTATCTGAGAGACTCAGTGGACAGAGAGCGGGGCAAAAAGGTGAGTTGGCTGTGGACACCAAAGGGAAGAAGACGCGTCCGTGCAAGTTTTAAAATAATAAATCCAGAGGCCTCGTGACTCCGTGAACGTACAGAGAAACGAGGTAAAACGAGACTGGAAGAAAATAACTGCAGGATAAATCAAGAGTCAGAGCTGCTGACAATATTAATCATAGCACCATCCACAGGAAAAAAATCCTTTTCACATTAGATTAGATGGCATCTTCAGGATGCGTAGTTCTCTAAAATGTTGCTACAGAGATAGAAACTGACCTCAAACTGAACTAAATACGCACTCAGTGGCCACTTTATTAGGTACACCTGTACAATCTTCTGCAATGCAATACAACAGCTGTGCTGTAAATTCTTCCTTTTGTTGTGTTTTTTTTTGCTGTGACCTTTGTTACAGAGGTTAAAGCTTATCTCAGTTGGTAGACTTTCTGTCAGAGCTGTGGTTGTGTTGCAACTAAAGAATGTCCAATGAGATATCAGGTATGTTGGACTTCCTGTGGCGATTTGCAGCGCTGACTTAATGTGATGCATGCTGGACTTAAAATAAGGCATGCTGGTTAGAAATTGTGTCCGACTTTTTTCGGCGCTGCAAAACTTCGTAAAACCTTGCAGTCGCTGAGCCCGGCGATCGCTAGTTGCTTTTCTCCGGCTGCACAAAGTTGGAACCACCTTTGGACTGATCTCAGCTCACAGTCAGCCCAGGCAGGTAGATTGTTACCGACTTGACGCCGGTGTTTTGATACCTCGCCCCTGCAGTCGCCTGCAGCTCACGTTAGACCAAGCAAGATCAAGTCTGTGAAAGTCAGCTGCAGTCATTTCAAACGCACCTCATATGAGGATGAGACACAACAGCGCCTCCTGGTGGACTGTTTTAGAGCTCGGGAGGAGCATCTTAAAAGGACTGGGTCTCTCCTTCAACCTAAACTACAACCCGGTCATGTCTGGACTTCTGGAACAGAAGACGCCTCCAAGGAAAAAATAAATTTCCAACTCATCATCAGCATCTGTGGAAAACCATATGTGCCATGAGTCTACATGGGACTGTTATTGACAGTAATATGGTGGTTAAACAAATCCTGCCTGTCACTCATTTCTGAGAAGGCGATTAAGCTAGCTGCACCTACATTTGGAGTGCACTCGTATTCAAGCCTTTATGGTAAATCCACTGAAGCGGCCCAGAGCGAGCTGACAAGCAGGTTAGAGACTTTATCCTGTCAGTTTGTCTCTTTACAAAGACGAGTGTTGCAGTAGGAAAGTCACGTTACGCCGTACGAGAACCACATACAACATTATTTATCAAACTGGGTCGTTAGTGTTAGTTCTGTGACAACGTCTGGTTTTCAAAATAAGGCGTCTGTACAGGATGGAAATAAGATTGATTAGATTGTATTCACAGAAAGTATAAAACATATTACATGTCTCCATTAAACATAAATGGACACGTGTAATTTAATTTACCGGACCCCCACTCGCCATAGTCCCTCCAAAGCCCGTGGTTAACAGCAGAACTGAGTAAAAAGCACATTTTGACTATTTAATTTATGCAGTGATAAAAAAAAAAAAAATAAATAAATTGGCAAAATAAATGGAAAAAAATGTGAATGTACTTGTTCGGTATTCTGCTAATTTTTTCAATTTCATCATTTCATTTGGTTTCGGCTTGTGCCAAGAATTTTCATTTCGGTGCATCCGAGCTGTACGGGATTACACACTTTTAATTTACACCTCTAAGACGGTGTCAAAAAAAAAAGATCATAAAAGAAGAATGTTTTAGGTCTACCTGTCTAACCCAACACACCTGTTCTGCTGTAAAATGGCCACTGAGCGCAAATTAGTAGTAACAGTAGTGGAATGTAACTATAAGTACATTTAATCAAGTACCTTTAAGTAATTGTGTGCTTCTTTGCTGCTCCACCACATTTTAGAGGAGATGTTGTGCTTTCAGCTCTACAACAGTACAGTTTAACACACCGTCTTCCCGACGTCCGCACATGCAGACACAGGTGGAGCATCACAAACATAACACTCGTGGCTACGCAGACACATCAAGTCCTGTTTGGACCACCAGGACACAAGGAAACCAGCGACCACCATTTCTGATTGTGTCAAATCTTTGGTATTGATCTGTAATTCATTGTTTAGTTGAGAAGTGTGACTGATGTGGGATATCACTATTATAAAAACATGAGACTCAAACACTTTGTTCCAGCAGTGTGAACGCAGCCGCAGAGTGAACTTTGATTTGATAAGACTTTATAGACAAGAGATGAAGAGCTGTAGTGTTGTGGGATATTTATTATTGTTATTTACAAAATGTTCCTACGTCTACCTGAACGTGTTGTGACTATCCTTCCTATTTACAACATTTAATTATCATAAAACAAGGCTAATTTTAACTTTTGCGTTAGTTTTTTTTGGAGATCACTGAAGGATTGGAGGGTCACACCAAAGGCAGGCCTGAAAGTCGACTCTGCACCGGACCTGATCTACAGTTCAATCATTTTTTATGAGCTGCTGTTTCTGGACGAACAATAAAACAAAGAAAAACATCTGGAATGACAGCAGCAGCTCGGTTTGTGTCGGCCACGTTCTTGTTTACACCGGGAATGGAAACGTGACTATAAGAAGGGTTTGTGCCACGTGGACACTTTCATCTGAAGCACCTAACGTACCCGAACTACGTGTTAACCTGGTGACCCAGCAAGACGTGAACCTCTTAACGATGACACAGACGACCAGTTGGCGACCTCGGACACAGCCTGGGTTTCATTTTGTTTCCAATAAGGCGACATGAAGTTTATTCAGCATCATGAGCTGGGAGCGACTTTCTGCGAAATACGATTTGATGAAATGACGACAAAATGACAAAAGTCCACCCCCCCCACCCCCAACAGGAATAAAAAAGTCCCTCGTCTTCCAGTGGACCGCCATGGGACATTTTTTCGCTAGTAGCAAGCAAGCAGTGAACATCAGCTTAGCATTACAGTGCGTGTTGACAGATGTAGTTCAACGAGCTTTACTGTTTCACTACAAACTGCGACTTCCTTGACTTTCAAATGTTTATTTTAAATTAAGAAACATCATATGTGTGCGCAGTGGCGGCCCAAAGCTCAGAGAAGCGAGCTTGTGACCGGGAGCTCGCCGATTCAATCCCTTCCTCATTTACCACCACTAAGGTGCCCTAACGGTGTGATTGTGATCAGGGCCTTCCTGCAAATGAGAGGATGCTCTCAGTGAAGCTCACTGAATAAATAAAGGTTAAAAAATGATGTGTGTATTTCAGGGCACAATTCAAACGGAAACACCAAATTTGTTGCCTCTCACCGTAGACTACAGTACACCCCCCCCCCCAAAATAAGGTCCCATGAGGCGGGAGCAGAACGGACAGACTTAGGTTCTTGATTGTCTATTTCCACGTTTTTGTTACTCTTCATTTCGTTTCATCTCTTTTTCTACTCTAACTGTAAGTGTTCTGTCTTTTCTGCTTCAAGTTTTTTTTTTAGAGCCAGCTAACTAAAACGGTTTCTTTATTCTGTGTACAGTGGGTGTAATTTACCAACAGTGTAGTGGGTGTCCCTGTCCTCTCAACCTGACCACAGTACTTCTACTGAGTCGTTTACGACCCTATTTCCCTGAATGCATCAACACCTTGATGACGTAGTCATGTAGATTTACGAAGCAACATTTAATGATTTCATATTCCTTTTTTTGTAGGATTTAGTTCCATCTCTTTATTTATTTATTATATTTTCAGTGTTCTCTTCTGGTAATGCCCAAGAGGTGATCATTTCAGCCAGAAAATACTGCCGCCTTGAGTCGTGATTTCTCCTCTAATTATTATGAGTCAATTCATTTTCTGGTGCTGATTTGTTGGTTTTCCCAAACACTGTTTACAAAGGCTAAGCTTCTGCTTTGTACTGTAGTCACTACACTTTATGTGGAAGAAATATAATACGCAACTGGTCCAAAACTGAGGTAGAAGGCAAAATAATAAGTAAAATAACTAAACCTGTTTTGTTGCTGCAATGCATTCTGTTCTCGATTCCTGCTCCTGCGAGTGTTTAACTTGGCCTCTGTGTATTGTCTCTCTCTGTTTGACTGGTGAAAGTGCCCACTCCGACACCGAAATCCAAAGCTCATTATTAATATTAATTCTATTTTAAATATTTCAATCAAATGTCACGTCTTCTACAAGAGTGCAGTTAACAGCAGGATCATTTAAAATATCACAACGTCTAGAAAACATGGAAGTATCTCGCCTCAACAGTCTAGAGTTTTAGAGAGTTTCACTTTAACGTAGGAGAAATGTTGATAAAAGCAGCGGGGACACCTCCTGCAGCAGCTACTCCACATCCAGGTACAAACAGAGTCAGTTAACAAGAGCCAGAGTCGAAGTCTTCACTGAGCTTAATAAAAAACAAACAAAAAAAAACAGTGAACTGACTCAGTAGAATTACATTTTTAACAGCCTTCTGGACGCCAACAATAACAGGACAACTCTTTTTCTTCTGATTTCACAGCCAGGTTACTAATCAAGTGCTCACATTTAACAGCATGCGGAAAAGTTTGTGTTAATTCCATAAACTGACGGCATCTTGGGAGGTTCTGCATGATCAATTATCTAACAACATTGGTGAAATTAACTAACACTCCATGCTGCTTGGAGCTGAAGCCTCCTAACAAATGATTTAATTTCCCTTTACTGTAAAGTGATTCTCTAAATCCACTTCCAGAACATTTCTTTAACCTTTTATCCAGCCACAGGACACAGACACTACCAAAGGTTACATGAATATGAACACGTAACATATGTGCTGATAGAGCAAGACTCTCGCAGCAGCAGCTGAAACCTTGAAAATAAGCATCGCTCAAACGTCAAAGCAGTCGGACAACTGACGAAATCTTTAAAAACTTTAAATATATTTGACCTCGGTGACAATATTCCCTGTTGCCCCTGGTAGCGAGATAGTTTATCACACACTTCACGAGCTGACGATGACGGTCACCCGACGGCTGGTCTCCAAACCACGTTTATTGTCAAGAAACTGGAGTTGTTTATTATCATAATAATAAACATTATGAAGACAAAAAATCTGGATGAATGATCGGATTAGCACACGAAGGCAGCAGGGATTTTGATTGATTGTGCTACAGAGAGAGTTGGATGCGAGTAAAAAATGTTTTTTAGCGAAAAAGTAGCTGCCTGCTCCGATTGGCTGGATGTGGACGTCGAGTCGGCCGACAGTCCCAGATATTTAGCATGCTAGATATCTGTCTAGTGTCAGCAATGTGACAGAGAGCCCCCTTTTTTTACGATCGTGTAGTGTGAACTTGGCTTAAAGTTCCTCAAAACCAAAACAATGAGGTGAAAGATGTAAAAAAAAAAAAAAAAGAAAGAAAGAAGGCGACTTAAGAGTCAGGTGGTGTCACCAATAAGAGAGGCACCTTTTCATGTTATACATTCATTCAACCCATTGTTAAAATATCAGTTTGTGCAGCTTTAAAGACTTGATAAGAAGAAACAAAAGGTGACATGTTCAGTTTTGCGGGGGCACCGTGCTAACATGAATCAGCATTACAGAGATTTACAACGTCCAGCTGAATAAGAGACATGACAGCGACTCAGATATGTATCCAGAATATGCAGCTACCCAGTGGAAACTATAAAAACTGACCACATACAGTGCTCATATGTTGTCAGAGCAGAAAATGTTTTCACTATCCAGTAGATCAGGAGCCTTGAGAGGAAAAGTAGGACTGCTATCTTTCTATTAGTCACTTCCTTTTAGTCATACAATCAGCAAGAAGTTCACAGTCATCAAAAATACATTTGATCTTCACTTTCTGTGTGTGTGTGTGTGTGTGTGTGTGTGTGTGTGTGTGTGTGTGTGTGTGTGTGTGTGTGTGTGTGTGTTTAGACAATCTTCGTGTGCCTCAACAATCAAAAATCATTCCAGCTCGAGGCAAAGGTTTCTGGATATTTTTCATTTTCCAAAAACCTCACATCAAGTTTCTTTTTTCTGTCTCTTTTTTTTCAAAACCTCAAGTTTCTTAAAGTGCAGACTATCCGATAAACTACCTGAGTGTTAGTGAGTTAGTGCTATTTCTATACTTTGCTGAGTGTGTGTGTAACTGGTGAGAGACAACCACGACAAGTTTTTACTTCAGAGCTAAAACCTGGTCTCGCTGATTAAAAGAAACGCTCTTGAATCAGTAGAGCCAGCTAATTTAGTAATGTTTGTACAGCAAAGACACACACTGCAGGTTTCCTCTTGTGTTGCGTCGTGTAGCGAGAGACGCCAGAGCTGAAACAGAAGGCATGCTGATGATACTTATGTACAAACATCTGTGCTGTCAATATTATACTCTGCAGACAAGCTTCAGGTGTGCTTAAGCGTAGAAAGTTTTCGAAATGCTCTAAAAAAACAAAAAAAACAACACATCACTTGAAGGTAAATATTAAATACCTCTTAAGTTTAGATAATTTTCATTTATCATCAGCTTAAGTTGATTATTTTGCTTTAGTACCATTGTTTATGCTATCAATATACATTGATTTTTTTTTGTGTAAATGTTATTTTAGTACAAAACTCTTTGTATGCACATGTGCAGCTGTGTGACTTTGTTCTGGAATGATTTTAAACACCTAAGAGCCTATTAACAGCCTGTTAGAAACAGAGTGGAAGAGATGCTGAAATAACAAAAACAAAAAGCTGTAGCAGTGCTAGCACTAATTTACAAAGACTATCCACATTAGAAATGCTGAGCTCTTTAAAAATGTGTTTCTTCATGGTTTTGAGTTTTCCAAACATATTTTATCGTCTTTTTAATTCTTCATAACACCGCCAAACGTTTGCTTCATTTGTCTGGGAACAGCAGGTTAAGACTCGGAGGGGGAAATACTTTGAAATGCTTCTCTACACGTCGTCAGCCGGCAGGTCGGGGATGCTGGTCTTTGCTCGTGTGAAGAACGCCATCTTCTCTCTGAAATCACACAGGAAACAGTCAGAGCAGTGAGCCTGGAGCTGAAGACAAGTAAGATCTTTACATAATGTGTAAGGCCAAAGCAGTGGTTTCAAACAAAAGTCCTCATGTTAAAACTTCTGTTAATATTGTCATTCTGTTTCTCTATAGCGTAATTATGCTATAGACAAAAAGAAATATGCAGTTGGGGTATTAATTGATCTAAAAAAAGGATTTGACACAATAAATCATGAAATATTAATCAGTAAACTTGAACGAATCGGGATGAGGGGGTAGTTCTAAACTGGGTAACTAGCTATCTGAGAGACAGACAACAATTTGTGAAGATGGGAGATTATTCGTCTGAATGTCTGGCCATGGCTTGTGGTGTCCCCCAGGGATCAGTGTTGGGACCACAGTTATTTTTATTATCCATCAATGACATTTGCAAAGTATCTCTATTATTGAATTTTGTATTATTTGCAGATGATACAAACATATTTGGTTCAGGGGACAGCTTACAGCAACTCTTGGAATCAATCAATTCAGAATTCAAGAAAATAAAAGAACGGTTTGACATAAACAGGTTATCAATAAATTTGAGTAAAACTACATTCATGGTATTCGGAAACTGTAAGTCAAATCATCAAGCACAGATACAGAAAGAGTGTTTACATAGAAAGAGTACATGAAAATAATTGTGGAGTGATCATAGATGACAAGATTTGCTGGAAGCTTCACATAAAACACATAAACAACCAAACTGTCCAGAAGGATTGCAGTCCTAGCAAGAGCCAAACACATTCTGGATCTTAAATCACTTCACATCTTGTACTGCTCACTATTGTTACCTTATTTGAATTACTGTGTAGAGGTTTGAGGAAGCACTTATCAACATTCACTACAGCCACATGTACATGCAGCACCCATGCAGTCCAAAACAAATTTCCTTTCGAGGACAATAAAGTATACTACTACTACTAGTCACAATGCAAAAAAGAGCCATGAGAATCATTCACCACGTCGGATTTCGGGATCACACAAATTCATTATTTCTACAGTCTAAATTGCTAAAATACCACGATCTAATTGAATATCAAACTGCAGTATTCATGTACAAAGCAAGAAATAGCCTATTGCCTGGGAATATAGAGAAGATGTTCTCTGAGAGGGAGGGAGGGTACGATTTATGGGGAAGGGGAAATTTTAAGACTAATAGATTTACACCAACAAGGAAAAGATTGTTTGTCAATTTGCAGAGTTAAATCATGGAACAAACTAAATGAGAACTTAAAGCAACGCCCAAACATATTCCTTTTCAAAAAAATGTACAAAGAAATTATTTTCAGGAGGTATCGAGAAGCACTGTAGTAAAAGTAGGAGTGCTCCTTTGTTTATGTTTTTTTTGTCTCTTGTTTGTTTGTTTTGTTGTATTTTTTTGCTGTTTGAATAAGTACATAATCGAGGTTAGATAAATAAATACTTGTCAGTGGTCACTTTAATATTGTGAATATAAAAATATAATAAATATATATATATATATATATATATATATATATATATATATATATATATATATATATATATATATATATATATATATATATATATATATATATATATATATATATATATATATATATATATATATATATATATATATATATATATATAAATACACACACACACACACACACACACACACACATCCATCCATCCACACATACACGCGGTATATGGATGTATATAACATAATAAAAATATAAATATTGTAAATTGAAGGAATGTAAGAATTAAAAGGGTAGGAGTACATAAGTTTTACTTGTTCCTACTCCTTTTCGCACATGTGATGTTTTTTTCTCCTATGTTTTTAAACATTGTTTTATTTTATTTTTTTTATACTTTCTCTTGCATGTTCGAAATAAAGATTTTAGTTCAAATGCTATCTAATCATCTGTTGTCTTTCCATCCTGGAAAACAGATCCCTGCTTTGCTGCTTTTGTAGTTTCTGCCTGTGTGTGGCATGTCTCCTCATCCAAATCACGACTCTAAGAAAATTTATACACTGCTCAAAAAAATAAAAGGGAACACTTAAACAACACAATGTAACTCCAAGTCAATCACACTCCTGTGAAATCAACCTGTCCAGCAACACTGATTGACAATCAATTTCACATGTTGTTGTGCAAATGGGATAGACAACAGGTGGAAATTATAGGCAATTAGCAAGACACCCCCAATAAAGGAGACGTGGAGGAGGCCGTAGGAGGGCAACAACCCAGCAGCAGGACCGCTACCTCCGCCTTTGTGCAAGGAGGAGCAGGAGGAGCACTGCCAGAGCCCTGCAAAATGACCTCCAGCAGGCCACATATGTGCATGTGTCTGCTCAAACGGTCAGAAACAGACTCCATGAGGGTGATATGAGGACCCGACGTCCACAGGTAGGGGTTGTGCTTACAGCCCAACACCGTGCAGGATGTTTGGCATTTGCCAGAGAACACCAAGACTAGCAAATTTGCCACTGGCGCCCTGTGCTCTTCACAGATGAAAGCAGGTTCACACTGAGCACATGTGACAGACATGACAGAGTCTGGAGACGCCGTGGAGAACGTTCTGCTGCCTGCAACATCCTCCAGCGTGACCGGTTTGGCGGTGGGTCAGTAATGGTGTGGGGTGGCATTTCTTTGGGGGGCCGCACAGCCCTCCATGTGCTCGCCAGAGGTAGCCTGACGGCCATTAGGTACCGAGATGAGATCCTCAGACCCCTTGTGAGACCATATGCTGGTGCGGTTGGCCCTGGGTTCCTCCTAATGCAACACAATGCTAGACCTCATGTGGCTGGAGTGTGTCAGCAGTTCCTGCAAGAGGAAGGCATTGATGCTGTGGACCGGCCCGTCCGTTCCCCAGACCTGAATCCAATTGAGCACATCTGGGACATCATGTCTCGCTCCATCCACCAACGCCACGTTGCACCACAGACTGTCCAGGAGTTGGCGGATGCTTTAGTCCAGGTCTGGGAGGAGATCCCTCAGGAGACCATCCACCACCTCATCAGGAGCATGCCCAGGCGTTGTAGGGAGGTCATAAGGCACGTGGAGGCCACACACATTTTGACTTGTTTTAAGGACATTACATCAAAGTAGGATCGGCCTGTAGTGTGGTTTTCCACTTTGATTTTGAGTGTGACTCCAAATCCAGACCTCCATGGGTTGATAAATTTGATTTCCACTGATAATTTTTGTGTGATTTTGTTGTCAGCACATTCAACTATGTAAAGAAAGGAGTATTTAATGAGATTATTTCATTAATTCAGATCTAGGATGTGTTATTTTAGTGTTCACCTTTATTTTTTTGAGCAGTGTATTATCTTTACAGATTGTAGGGACCGGTGAGCCAAATTTGTTAATTTTGGGATATATAAATAAAACTGACTTAATTGTATTCCTGGTCCTGGAGTGTTTTTCTCCACTTGCTATGGAGAAAAAAAGAGTACAAACCACAATCTATGTAATAAATGTACGATATTAAAAGGGCTGGGACTCTCAGGGTACCTCAAGACATTATACTATCAGGATGCCCACCATGAAGATGATGCTACCTCTTGATAACAGGCAATTGTGTGATTACAACCATCTGAATTGTCATTGTCATTATGTGGGTTAATGAGGACTAAAGACAAGCCTCTAAAATAATTCAGTAATTTGAAGTCAAACAGTTACAAACTGGAAAAACATTAAACTGCCAGAAAGCAGAACAACTATCTGGATACGTCTGTGCTCCTGCATCACCAGACTGTATCTGCATGTTGGTACATCGTTATAGAGAATATATCATAAGAGGTCGTGTCGCCAAGTGCATTTTTGTAAAGATCATATTCTCACAGTAATCATCAAATCTAACATTTCATGCATCTTGGGTATTCGACAAACATACAACAACTGAGTCTCATATTTCAGAGTTCTGTCCACCTCCGACTGAAACCCCGTCTGTTGTTTTACCCACCTGAAGGTCTGGACCTCAGGAACCTCTTTGCGGCTCTGGCCCCTGATCTTGTGGACGTCCTTGGCTGCTGCCCTCATCATCTTCTCCACCCGCTTCTCCTGCAGCTGCTCCTCACGAGTCTGAACAGGATGAAGAGCAAAGACCGTGTTGAGCTCGGTGGAGAATCACAGATACTGGCCTCTGCTCGCCTTCATTTACAAAGGTAAAGAAGAGCGCCCTCTAGAGGACAAACGTTTGGATGCATTGGTAAACAGACCTGGACACCTTAACAGTTTCTGACTAGGATGGTCACTCGCCTGTTTCTCGGCCTGCTTGAGGAGGAGGCGGAAGCGCTCGTCTTCTTGGACCCAGGCCGGCAGCTCTCTCTGGCCCTGCTGCCTCGCCTTTTCCAGCTGCGTCTTCAGCTCCCGTAGCACCCGCAGCTCCTGCGCCAGCCGGGACTGGCGAGTCCGAGACAACTGCAGGTCCATCTCCAGGTCCAGGGACGTCCGCAGCAGTCCGTCCAGACCTTTAACCTGCACAGGAGGCTGAAGGGAGGACAGAGGGATATAGTTAAGTGCTGCAGACACAAACACTACTACAACACTTTGTTTCATTATCAGTTCATCTACAAATTGTTTTCTCAATTAATCATTCTATAAAAAAGTCCAGCATGACTTGTTTTGCCTAACCCAAAAAGCCAAAGGCCAAGGCCAAAAAGCCCAAAGCCAGCAGTGTATTTCTTAAAAGTCACCTGAGCGTACAGTAACACCTTCATATATTCGCAAATACTGTCACAAACACGTGGGGCTGGTATGAGATTTTCCCTCTGCTGTCGAACCCCAGGAGGGACGCTGAGGCAGACTTTGCTGCTGAGCTCTAAGTTAATAGAAGCTAGCAAATGTCAGAGCTGATTAAACATTCAGATGGTTATTAAATATTAAGAGTCACTTCACTGTGAATGGTTGGGCGGCTTAAAGACTCAAAAAATGCAAATAGGCTCTCAGTCCCGCTCCTTGGAGAAAGGGGACGACAGTTAATGTTGTCGGTTAACCTGCAGGTTCGACGTCGCTATTAAACTGTCAAGGCCTCAAGAAGCAGGAAGATGACAGTAGACATCCAGCAGATAAGAGAGGACGAGAAGTCAAATCCCCGAGGCTGTAACACAGTCAAACTGCTGGAGTGAAACATACTGAGATAAACTGCTGAGGTCCTGAACTACTGGGCTTCAATGTCAACGGTCCTCTTCATCTTTGTCTCCACAGCCACTAATGTGGTCATTTAAGTTCAAGTTTAGAGCACCCTCCAGCGTATTTTGACATTTCAATGATATTTCATATTTTTCACAGTTATATCCTTACAATGTTGATTACCCACATAGTTCGCCAAGTATTTTTTGACAAATAGCTTAATTTTGTGCTCAAAGTTGCTTATTTGTTAAAACGGGGTGGTAACGTATGACTATAGTAATTCCATAAGTCATACGTCATTCTCCAAGCTTGCGCAGGCGCACTGTCATGCCTCGTTAAAAAACTGTCACGCCGTCACGCCTCGTTAAGTCAGAGCATCAAAGCGATAAACATCGTTGTGAGCTAGCTAACCAATTTATCATGTAATGTACTTAACTTACAGTAGGTATGTCTCTCTGTGTCTGATGGTCGGTTTGTCTTTCTAGATTAGTGAGCTAAGTTAACTAAGTTGTAGTTTGCCAGGTGTCGTTAGCTAGCACAGTTATTGCAGAAGTAATAGACCCCCCACACCTCCGCGGTAAAGTCAGCACACCATAAAACGTAGTGGGAGTTATCGTGTGCAGTGCGTGACATCGACTGTATAATTGATAACAGCTGATACACGCACATTAGTTTCTATCATGGGTAAGTAATAGCTACTCCTGCCAGACAGTAAAGTGTACTAAACTTTACAGTGTAGAGATGTTAACACAGCATATCGTTAGTGAACACTCCAGCCGGTCAGTTTTTAGTTGTCATGGAAATGTATTACGTCTGACTATTAACCACACCCCCATTCTCTGTTTTAAGAAAGAACGGCAGTTAAAACTGGCTGGAGGGGGCTTTAAAGATTCAGTCTATGTCGTGCTAAATAAAATGTAGCTGAAATGAAATATTGATTTCCCTCAGGACCAGAGAATAAAAACTGACAAAACATCTGACAAACGGTAGAAGCATGTTAAATTTATGGGTGCTTCACTGAACAAAATTATAAATGCAACACGTTTGTTTTTGCCCCCAGTGGCCTTTTATTGTGGCCAGCCTAAGGCCTTTTATTGTGGCCAGCCTAAGGCCTTTTATTGTGGCCAGCCTAAGGCACACCTGTGTAGTCCCCACGCTGTCTGATCAGCATCTTGATATGCCTGTGAGGTGGATGGATTATCTCGGCAAAGGAGAAGTGCTCACTAACACAGATTTTGACAGATTTGTGAACAATATTTGAGAGAAATAGGCCTTTTGTGTACATGGAGAAACTCTTAGATCTTTAAATTCAGCTCATGATGAATGGGGGCAAGTGTAAAAGATCTGAGTTAGGGGAAAAAAAACAGACAGAAACCACATACAACTAAAATCTGAAGAGACACATACCTGCATTGCCTGTTTATACCTTCTTTTTTTTTTTTTAAGATTTCTTATTTTACTATTAACGCCATAATATTGTTACTGTATTTTTTATTTGCCTTTGCACCATTAACATATTAAAATACTACATAAGGTTATTATCAGGCCGCTACTTAAAAATTTCATTCAATTAAAAAACCCGCAGACACATTAAAGAGACTTTGGTGAAAATTCTGCCACTGCCAACATGTTTAAATGATGACGAGCTTCAGGTGTGGTGAGCCATAGTGGAAGACAACTGATGCAGCAGCTCAGCGCCTCACGACATCCAGAGAAAAAGATTTATGACACTACCATCGCCTAATCGGACACAGTGACCATCTCAAAAGACACAACGTGTGACACATTAACAGAGAGAGATCAACAGACAGCAGTGAAGTTTCTACCTTCTTCATGCGCATGCTGCGTCGCTCTGAGGCGTTTCTGACAAACGGAGACTTCTTGGAGAGGGTGGAGCTGTCGCTGTCACTGCGGTTAATCTGGGAAGACAAAAACAGAGAGAGCGTGGGTGGTGATGGCGCAGTGGATAAGACACCTGTCATTGGTTTGAGAGATACAGGTTCAATTCCCCACTGTGACACATCCACCAATATGTATGTATGTATATATGTATATATATAGCAATTGTAAGTCGCTTTAGAAAAAAAAGCCTCAGCTAAATGAATACATGTAATATTAATTCATAAACCGTACCGCACTGTACTTATGTCAGTTTATAAAGATGACAGAGTTAAAGGTCTGGTTCAGTTACCCTGCAGATGTACTGGCTCTGAGGTCCAGGGGAGAAAGTCTTGGAGCGGATGATGGTGTTCCCTCTCATAAAGGGGTTCTGCTGGTGCACATCTGGGCGGCGTTCCTTAGGTCGCACCACCGAGCAGTGGTGGGATGGCGACAAGCTGTCCATGCTCGTCTCCTTGTTCAACTGGGCAAAGAATACACAGCGATAATAACGAGAAAATGTAGCGAGATCAAGAGAATTTCTTTTTCTCTCTGAATGACCGTTAAACAATTGTTCACCAAACATCTTTTAGAGAAATTATTTTCCTTCCGTTTTCACACATCATAGCTGCACTGAATGCGTTTACTTCTGCTTTCCAAGTCATCCAAGAAAAGAAGAACGATATGCTACAATCCAGCACGAGTACATCGTAAACTTTTCTCTACTGGGGAGTTGATTTTTCCTTCAGGCACGATCAACAATCAGTGGAAAATCACAAAAGTTACCTTTTCTGTGATGGCTCCTGCTGCTGCTGCTGCTGCTCGAGGAGGTTTGGTCACCTTCTCCTCCTCTTCCTCCTCTGCTTCCCATTGGCTGCTCTCAGGATAAAACCCGCCCTCTTCCTCCAGAGGCTCCATGCCATTTCCTTCTTCATCAAACATATCAGCCTCCAGAGGGTCGCCATGCCTGACGATCAACAACAGACGCAGTGAGACAATGGCAGAGAGGAAGACAGTCCTCAGTTCCCACTTCTAGTACTATTTAGAGTTGTGTTTCAACCTCAGTACTTTTGTACCAACCAAACTGTGTTTGTATCAAGAGTTGACATTATTTTGTAGATTCTGCCACCTTAAGAACACCAACTACTACCGCCAATATACCAAACCTGTATTTATTGACATTTTTCTTTTGGTTATTTTGCACTAGATCCTACTGTATCCACTGTACTCTTTAATTTATTTTTATTTGCATTGGACCATACAGCTACGGATGGATGGACGTAATGGCCCATATGGTGTTATGTTATGTGTTACGTGATCTTATTTTAATTTTTGTTGTGATTGGTTGTTGTCATGTCATGAGCACACTGAGTCAAATTCCTAACAACGAAGCTGTATGGAAATAAAGTATTGAATCATGAATATTTTATTGTCAGGTCTGTGCACACTTTACCTACAACTACCTGTTGTTGTTGGTAGCGCAAAATAGATTGTAAAGAATTACACAGAATAGATGAAACCTAAAAACCACTGTCTGCTTCCTTCTGTAAAACTGAATAAGCATAACTCAAGTATTTCAGTGACTGAAGAGGAAGAGAGAAGTTGCAAGTGGAGTTGTTGGGGTCACTATAATCTCAGGACACCTGGTGATTGTCGTAGGACAGAGGAAGGAGGAAAGAAGGTGGTGTAGCAAACATTTGAGTAGCTTTATTTACAGTCTGAACCTGCCAGGTAGCATTCTGTCTGTGCTGTGTCTGTTTGTCACTCCACAAACATTTACGTGGAAACGTGACGCAGTACAGATCATCTCTGTAAAAATAACAGGTTTACTCAAACAATTATTTACAATCTCTATAATAAAATTATCATGCAGGACGTACAGAGATTGTTAACTTATAACTACCAATACAACAACATAAAAAGCATTTAAAATCTTATACAAAGATACAGAAGATTCATCAGCTAAATGTACCTGAAGTATTATTATATCTGACATAGATTGTTAATACTGAACAATCCATTTGTGAGCAGCACTTTACTTTGCAGAGGTAGAGCCAGTATATTAATTAATTTCCTAGGGGTTGGGGCCCTGCCGAATGGTCACAACTGCTAACAACCCTGAACTCAGAGACACTTCTTTTATGTAATTGGTCACAAGCTAAAAATGTTTGGCAACCTTTAATAATCCCTTGTGTTTTATGAAATTATCACATTTATTAATCTTACTTAGCTACAGCTGTTAAAGAAATGCAGTGGAGTAAAAAGTACATTATCTGCATGTGAAATGCAGTGATGCAGAAGTATTGAGAAGCATAAGTTACTCAAGCAAAGTACAAATACCTCAAAATTATACAGTACCTCAGTACATGTTTTTAATTACTTTTCTGACTGAGAATGTATATTTTACATCTCTTGCCCAAAACATCCCTTACAAAGAAATAGAGCGAATGAAACATGCCGGATCATGTTGATCAATCAGACAAGTTAACTCACATAAACCAGCATCAAACACAGCTGCAGAGATTTTTATCCTTCTGAATAAGGGAGGTCATGGCTTAGATAGATTTATAATGCAGTTAGACTGTTCACTAAAATAATCATTAAAATGCTGTGTGAAGATGCCCTAACAGGGACTGATGTATGATGAAGGTCTGGAAATCGGTGGTTAAAAGAATGTTGCTAAGGTGGGACCGATTAAAAGAGAGGACAATAGATGGTCAAGAGTGAAGGAGGGAATAAATAAAAAGGTAGATGATGTAAAGGAGAAACTCTCACCACTCATCGTCCTCAGGAGCTCCGACTCTGTCGCTGCTGGAAACACAAGTCTGAAACGCAGAACACACACATCAGGACCAAACACAGACATACAGGTGTGTTTTCCACCTTATTTAAAAAAAAGTCGTTATATAAAAGTTGCAAAAATAAAATACAACAGAAAAGATATAAAAAGCAAGACCAACTTAATTTACAATAATTAGCTAAAATTACAAACACTGACAGGTAATAGAATCAGCCTCAAAATCCTTCTTCCATGATTTGAAATTGTCAAAAGACAGATCTTTCAGTTTAAAAAGATTTATGGAGTTCCAAGCTGATGTTGCCACAGTAAGCAAAATAAAGTCCTGTGAACGGAGACAGTTCCCCCACATTTTTAAATGATTAAACAGTACAAATAATTAGGTAGCAAACCCAGTATGGCTTTGTAAATAAAAACATACCAGTGACTGAGTCTATGGATTGCCAGGAAAGGTCTTCCAACCCCTGCACATAAAGTGTGGTGGTGTGTAAGTGCTTTACATTTTAAAATAAGTCTCAGTGCTCCATGGTAAAGTCCATCAATGATCTCAAACACTGAGCAGAGGCATTCATCCATAAAATATCACCATAATCTAGTATAGACAGAAAAGTCTTTAAAAGAGAAACAAGCTTTATTCCTAAAATAAAATCCCAACTTCAACTTAACTTTTTTGGCAAGCTGCAGTAAGAAATACACTGTTCTGTATTATTAAGCCATAAATATGTTTAACTAACAGTCAAAATAAGCAGCAGTTCAGTTTTCAGCTGTTCAGTGCTTCATATGCTAATCCTGCTGCAGCAAGTTAGTTATTGCTGGTCTGACTAGTTTATAAATGAGTGAGAGGCTTGAGTGCCTGAATAAAATTAAGGAAATATCTATACACTTACACCTAAATTCCTAACCAAGTTAACTCACTGATTTCTGCTGACAGTTGTAATGAAGTAATGAAGTGTCCCTTCCGCTTGGGTTTGTCCATATCATGGATGTAATAAGGAGGACCGTATACATATGCATATTTATGACACGCCGTCATCTTTTCATGGAGACAGGAATGCAATACAAAACGTAAATACTGTGGTCACGGAAACCGGCCAGGCGTTGTCGTACTTGAGTGGACCATGTTTTCACCCTTGTGTTATTAAATCATTTCTGAGCTGAAAGTCAAAGTATCAAATGTGAACCAGCAGTCCTCAGGGTGTCTCTCTTTACCCTGTCAGAGCCGCCGGCTGCTCGTCTCTCTTTGTCCTTGTTGTGTATCTCGGGCATGTAGGCGCGGCTCAGCAGGTTGTACCACTTGGTGCACCTCTCCTCCGAACAGCTGACATCAGCCAGGCTGATCTGGGCTCCCGCCTAGAGGGGAGGAAGGGGAGAAAGCAGGAGAGACATAAGATGGAGGGATGTTAAAAAAAATGGGAAGATTTCTTTAAATCTGATTCTTATTTTTAATTCCTTTTAATGTTCCTTTTTTAGAAAAAAGCAGCACTTTTAAACTGCCTCAGTGTGAAATTTGTGCTACTTCCATTTTCTTAGAGTCCCTCTGCAATGCATGTTCTTTATCCTAAAATACAATTTTTTTTTTAATAATCTACTGTAAAAATAGAAAGCAGCTAAAACTAGTATAAAACATCTCTTTTTATTGTTAGAGATTCATGCAATGCATGGGCGGGCTGCACCGGTATATTTTGCAACGCATTTTAACATTTTGCAGAGAAACAAATAGAAATGTTTTCAAATATATTACAAGACGCGGACAAGGTAAAGCAACAGTGAACACACCATTGCAGATGTCGTTTGGGTTTCATTTTGACAGGCTCCGTCATTAACCTGTTGCTGAAAACGGAATCGCAGGTAGAAAAATCCAGAAAACGAGTTCTGTGTCTTTTCTGCGACTTTATAGCACATACTGCGGATGGAGAAAGCCGTCTTGCTCCATAACTATCTAACTAAATTATACATCCAGGTCACCCTTGCAAAAGAGGTTCTTAATCTCAACGGGACTCTCCTGGTTAAATAAAGGTTAAATAAAATAAAAACATAAAAGTAAATTAAAAAAGAAAAAGCAGCCAGAGAGCGTTTCCATTGTTGTGCTGCTCCTGGTTTTGAAGCTGTTGGTGTAATATAACCTTCAACCTGACAAACACAATAAAAATCTCAACTTTAACAGGATGGAAACATTTAAATCAAACGAGCACTGCATCTTCCCCGCACGCCAGGTTTAAAAGCACAAAGGAGAGTTCTACTAACCAGACACTCTTCATGGCCCGACTTGCTGGTGTTGCAGACGTCGACCCTCAGTGTCTTCTGCCGCAGTGCACAGTGGGATATCTGCATGCTGAACACCTCGTTGACCTCCACGACGTCCTGAGGCAGACAGCCCCGTGTTCGGAAGAGGCAGCGGGTGGCCTCCACGCAGGGCAGCACCGCCGAACGCACATACCTGCAGCAGACACAGGTGCAGGTGTTACCATGAGGCCGTTTGCTCACATGTACCGTTTCAGCATGTCTGCTGCTTTAAATCTGTCTTTGCAGTTACCTTTTAAATAGATGCCGATGCTGTGGATTTGTGGCGTACATACATACTGATGTACAGGTAAATTACTTACTTTCCAACTAGTGACGTAGTGAAGGGAAAACTTATTCTAACCTTTATTCATTCAATCTGGTAGTCTCATTGAGATCAATGTCTCTTTTACAAGAAAGAGCCGAGTGCAGAAGAAACAGAACAGATGTGACAAAACCAGCCAGTCGCACACAATCACACACAAACACCCTCAGAAACTATTACATATATTTCTAAAAATGTCTAAATTAAGAGTCAGTGCTGGGATCTGATCTGATCTAATTTGAGAAAACATGTGATATACTGAGGCCGCTTTAGCTTTTCTGTCCTAAAAATGAAAATTTCCATGAAACCCATTTCATATCTTGGGTTCCACATGACATTTTAAAAGTCAGACTGTTATCTAACCAAAACCCCAGGTATATCTAAAGGCTCGTGCACACTACACGACTTTCAGCGTCGGCCGATGGTCGTGCCGTTCACACTACACAACTTGCCGTCTTGTGACGGGAGTCTTGAAGTCGTTGTGGCGTTCACACTGCGTGACTGATCGGTGACAGGGGGTCACACACTACACGAGCTGACAGCGGCTGCGACACCCGACGCTGGTCACCAAACCACAATTTGCCAAGAAAACACTCGGGAAAACGGGAAATGATGCGAAACAGCTGTTATTATACTGTTATTATAAAGATAGAAATTATAAAGACAAAAAATATGGGTGAAAGAATGGATTAGCACACACAGGTAGCAGTGAGTGTCTAAGTGTCCAAGTGTTTTGCAGTGAAAAAGTAGCTGCCTGCTCTCATTGGCTGGATGTGGGTGTCGAGTCGGCAGACCCCTCCAGATATTTGACGTGCTAGATATCTGGCAGATGTCTGTGTCAGAAATGTGACGGGGAGCCGTTTTGACACGTCATTGAGTAGTTCATACATAACGGCTGGCGACCGCTGATCAATCACTGATATACCCCTGATCACAGCCTGACACTCGCCGAACTCGCCGAGCGGCAGATCGGGCTTAAAATAGTGTAGTGTGAACTAGGCTTAAGATTCAACATTTCAGTACAGTTGTAGTGTGTGTGTAATGTGTAGGAGATGGCAGGAAGACGTAAGATAGAGTTATGGGTTCCTGGGAATAAAACACATTTTGTCTTATTAGCATTTAGTACAAGTTAGTACAAGTTTGAGTTACATGCAGACTGGTTTGAGCTGGAAAAGAGCCATTAGCATAAAAGATCATCTAAACATCTGTAAGGCTGTGATGAAGTCTTCCCTAATATTCGCTTTGCATTTTCTGCTGAATTCAAGAAAGTGTTTCCCGTTTTGTTTATCTCTGCCGACCCTTTCGAAACACAGTTGTCTTGATGCATCTTGTCTTTGGACATAGAGGAGTCATTATTTTAGTGTGTGCCATGCTACAAACTGCAGCATCCTTTTGTATCCTCCCACACTTTTTGATTTCCCTGATCAATGTGTCTTCATTTGCTACGTCGGAGACGTAATATCACATCTTTTTTTGGTGTTGAGAGAGGGTTTATTTGTCAGACTGAAGGTTAATGTAAATGTACCTTACAAACTGACATAGTATACATCATAATGAGTAGTATCGTATTTAAGTTCAACTCGTTATCTGTCTAAAAACACCGTATAGCACTGTTTGTGATGACTTGTTGGTCATTTGCATCAAGATATTCATTTGCCCAAGCACCACTTCTTCCAATGTCAACGTACTAATAAAAAGTAGATAAAGCAGACACATCTGCATGAGCAAACAGTGTCTACCAAGGCGCTAAACATGCAAAGCGACAAACGAGAAAAGGTCTGAATATTTACTGTCTTGTGTTTGACTTGGATATATAAACTTCTTGTTCATATAAGCTTCCTGTTTCTTCTTCTAACTTGAAATTTATGGTTCTTTTTCTAGTTTTTATGCGTATAAAATACATTTACACCCAAATGACTAAACAACTCTCATTTAATAAACGTAAGTAAAAGGATGTACATTTTCTGGTCAGCCGGCAGACAGAGGGCGCTGCAGTTGGACAGCTGCATGACGTAGATGGTGAAGCGTTGGTCTCTGGACTCGTAGCGGAAGCCGAGCTGCACCTGAGAGCAGCCCAGGGCCAACCTCTCCTCGTAGGAGCCCAGGAGGTCTGCAGGGAGGCCCGGCCTGGAGGAAGAACAAACACCCAGACGTAAGTACCTCTGAGTAAACATCATGTAGACAGAGACTGACGTGACACTCCAAAAGTTTATTTTCCAAGGCTGTCTAATAGTTATGTAATGACACTGTTTGTGATGACTTGTTGGTCATTTGCATCCAGTTATTCATTTGCCCAAGCACCACTTCTTACGATGTAAACGTACCAATAAAAAGTAGATAAAGCAGACACATCTGCATGAGCAAACAGTGTCAACGGAGGCGCTAAACATGCAAAGCGACAAACGAGAAAAGGTCTGAATATTTACCGTCTTGTGTTTGACTTGGATATATAAACTTCTTGTTCATATAAGCTTCCTGTTTCTTCTTCTAACTTGAAATTCATGGTTCTTTTTCTAGTTTTTATGCGTATAAAATACATTTACATCCAATTTGTTACAAAATGTAACAAAAAAATAAATATCTATCTTCAAATGTGTGACAAAAATGATCAAAGGATATTTTATATAATGCACCGTAAATCTTTGTGTATATACACTTCCTCAAGTGTGGAAAGACGACTCATCTACGTTACTATTTTCTCAGTCCAAGTTCATACAAAGTAGAACTAGATCAAGGATTCACATCTTCATTTGACAAACTCAAGTACAATATTTCCACATAGTTGTATTATTCTCTATTCTTTTATAACTTGCTTCTGTTTATTCCATATTTATATATTTTTACACTTATGTCAACTGTATGTTTGTCTACGTGTAGTACCTTATCACCAAAGCAAATTCCTCGTACATGTAAAATACTACTTGGCAATAGAGCTCTGAAATTTGTTGTTAATTGCAATGTGCTGTACTCTTTAGATTGGGCTAAAAGTTGTGTGTGAAAAGTAAGGATTAGACAAAGAAAATAAAATAAAAAGAGATACAAAAGGATAAAAATTCAATGTGTGCATGTAAAAACGTAAAATGTACAAGTGTAACTATGCATATACTTGTGAGGTTCATCAACGGTGATAAATTACCCGAAAGTCCCGGACAACTCGGCACAACACCAGTGAAGCTGGGGCTGCATATCTTCAGCAAGTGCTTCTACTTCCTACTGCCACTAAACACATACACGCTACACCTATACGTGCACACTGACGACCCAGGGTTAGGGTTACAATTTAGGATTTATTTACGCACATTAAAAACATTCATTGAAAGCTTTTTTCTTTTCACATGTTTACTTACAGCATTAAACATTGAAACGTACATTGTAATAGGCTGTATATTAACTTATTGGGAGAAAACTGGTAGTTCTATGTAAAACCAGTTGTTGAGCACCCCCCTATCGCCAAAATGACATGATCCTTGTTTCGCTGTGAATCAGGCTCCGCCCATCGAAGCATCGAATCTTCAACTATTCGGGGTCAGCCCTACAAAAAATATTTAAATAAATAAAGATCCGTACCTGCGCTCTGAAGGCTCGTACACACCGCTATCACCAGCCACTGACTCGTCAGACACGGCTGAGGTCACGCCCATCTTCTTTGGCCCCGTCCCCGTCGCTCGCAGCTGGGGAGCAGAGTCTAAAAACAGGAGGACAAAAACAAGGTGAAGCTAAATTTACAAATGTATTGTCTGTTGGTGATTTTTTAAAGACAAGTCAGGTGAAATTCTATATTTATAATATTCCCATGAAGAGACCAAAAAAGTATGTGTATTGTAGCTCTGTGCCATAGAGCCATAAACACACCAATGAGCCACACTGTTTCACTGGGTGACATGTTGCAGTAACAAGCTGTTTAAGGAGATAAAACTACATATTTGTGAGCTTTACGTCTTCAGTAGGAACCGATGGGCTTTGGGGCTCAGAGCCGCAGACAGGGAGATGAAGCCAGAAAGGGTTGACATTGTCAGTTCAGGCATTTTTGTGGTATTTGTTGACGATAACAGAAATACAGAATGAGGCCAGCCTTATCAGTGTGAAACAATATAACATGAATACGGTAACATTAGCATAAAAACATTTGGTGTATCACAAAAATTAGATGAGACACTTACAAGACATGGCAAGAAGAGAGACCAACCTCAACCTGACATGGTGTTCATCAGGGCAGGAATAATAAACTAGCAAACTACAGCATAGTAAACTATTTCCGCTCTAATGCAGACCCTGAATAGTTTCTGAACATTAGTTTACTTTCTGCGAAGAGTAAAAAGGACTTTGAAAGCAGAATGGTAATGTGAAGGAATGATGCCCCTGGCAAATCAGTAACACAGACTAGTACAACTTCATTTGAAACGATTATTGTATTGCTTGGGTCAACCGATTCTCAAACTGTGCAGCGGTGAGAAGCATCACGTCCCTGTGTTTCATCAAAAATTCAAATATATCAAGTTAATCTCTAGTATTATAAATCTATTTACAATATGTCTGCTACTGAGCCTGTGGACTGGGAAAACTTATAATCCAGAACATACATAAGAAGCACAGGAGTAGTTTGACCATGAAGACAGGTCAATGGACAGAGGACAGCGGAGTAGATCAACCAAAGGCAGAGAGATTTACACCAAAACAGAGCAAACCTCAGCAGGCACAACTTGCTGAATCATACTGATACTGATCAAACCCTCTGTCAACACTTCACAGATATGTTGCTACAGGTACAGGTGATGAGAACAAAATATGGGGGTTGGTAATGGCGCAGTGGATAAGACACATGCCTTTGATGTGAGAGACCCGGTTTCAATTCCCCACTGTGACACGTCCACCCTTGTGTCCCTGAGCAAGACACTTTACCCCTAGTTGCTCCAGAGGCGCGCAACCTCTGACATTTTTGCAATTGTAAGTCGGTAAAACATGATCGACTACAGACTGTGCAGAACTCAGCTGCAAGGTTTCTGACCAGAACAAAGAAATATGATCACATCACCTGTTTAAGCTTCATTACACTGGCCCTCAGTATGTTTTAGAATTTTATTGGCTACTTTAAAGCTCTTCATGGCCTCTCGCCGTGTTATATCTCTGACCTTTTAGTCCCATACACACCAGCAAGCCTTGAGATCCTGGGGCAGAGGCCTTTTGTCTGTTCCAGAGTCTCGACTGAAAACTAAAGGGGACAGTTTGTAGTCAGGGCCCCGAGGCTCTAAACAGCCTGCTAGAGGAAATCCGGTTGGCTGAGTCAGTGAAATCTTGTAAGTCCCTTCTTAAAACATACTTTCCAGATTTATTTTATATATATTTTGTCATTTCTTTTAACTGTTTTTTAGTTTCTTAAATGTTTTCTTGCCTTTGTCGTGTATTTTGTTTTTATCTGTGTTTAATTGTCTCTGCACTTGTTAAAGCACTTTGATGACGCATTTTTTTTTGAGGCAGTGCTAATGTTTATCTGAACGCAGCATTACTGGACTACAGGGGAGGCCCGCCTGTAGAGAGTTAAGAGTCCAGTAACATGTTCAACCCTGGCAGCAGGGATGGAGAGTGAACAGGAAACCAGACACCACGTCCACCTTTCACCTGAAGCTGCAACAAGAACCGGAGTCACGTTCGGGTGCAGTGCGACTGACCCTTACTGCTCTTCAGCTTTTAGTCATTGAAAGGCTGCAAAAAATGGTGAGAGCAGGAGAGCCGAAGGGAAGGCGCGGAGGGAGAGATGTGACCCAAAGATACTGTGTAGGTGCACCTCTGTTTTCTTACTGTATATTGACCTGATATTTTTCACTCACTTACACAAATGAAGCTATAACACAGTAAATAAATAAACATGTTAAATACCCAGGAAATACATTGCAAACAGGAGCTCAAACGGCACACACAGGTGACCCAGCGGCTGTAATCCAACACCCTCCTAACCTTCACCTCCCCTCTCTTCATTTCTCCCACAAGCAATCTAGGTTTCACACACACAGTATTAAATTTCTTATCACACACACACAGCGAGAGGAGGATTCCTGGTATACCGCTTTCCAACAAAGTGGAGTGTTCTCTATGACATCTAGTGTAACGGAGATAAAGGTCTCTCCGCTCTCTAACTCGCTCATTTCTGCTCATCTAATTGCAGAAAATTCATCACGATGATCACGTTATTAACTGGGATTAACAGTTAAGTCGTTATCCTGCAGCCCCTGCTGAGTTATTATGCAAACACAGTTTCATTGCCGTTGAGATGTGACATGATTGCTTTGAGGATAAGAGACTCACAGGTTTAATTAGAAGCCACACTGTTTCGTATTATTTTTGTTTTGAGCATCAAGCATCTTCTGAAAGATGCTGAATGCATGCTTGGTCATGTAAATAGTTAGGTTAAAACCATCTGTGCATATGTTTTAGTTTTTTACTTAACTGCTGTGACTCTTTCATTTCCCTGCATGACATCAACATTGTGGGCTGAAACACTTAATACTCTTATTGCTACTGCTAATACTATTAATACTCTTACTAATTTTCTGTATTTGGATTACTTGGTTTTATTGAGAGGTTTGTGTACGTGTGGTTTGGGGCTTTTTCACAGGCTGGAGGCCCTTTGGTTCAAATGAACAGAAGTCTTAATGCTACAGCATGCAACAATAAGTTTTAAATGTGTTCTTTAGGACTGTCGCAGTAACTGCAAAACCGAAATATCTTGCTATTGACAAGCAAACCACAGACGATGGTAAGTAACCACCACAACCGCTGAGTTCACACTTTCCTCTTCTACACTTCAATGCGTGTTAAATGAATAAATCAGTGTTTCAAAAATTCAACAAGCAATACGAGGTAACGGTTCAAGCGCAAGGATGAATCTCAATGGGCTGCCACTTTCAAACCTGGAAGCTAGAAGTTTTTTATGTTGTTTTACTGTTTCTTCTGCAGGTTAGCTTAATTTGCCATATAGTGTGGCTAATGTGGCTAGCAGGCTGGTTGTTGATCAACTAATGTTGTAACTTAATATTGAGGGACAGTCAAGAGAAACTAAATAACAAGTTAAGGTTATACAGAGGCCATCCTCACATTGCGTGTGTGTGTGTGTGTGTGTGCGCGAGTTGCTGCTGTTTTTAAATGTACTTGACCATGCACTGCAGGTAATGCTATAGCTACGTGTGAAAAAGACATGGTCAAACTGCGGGAACTGATTTGCTTGGTAACGTTGTCTAACTTTGACTAGCAGCCAGTGTTGTGGAAATTGCATAGGTTACTCATCACAGGTTGAATGGCGTTGTCGGTGGCTTAGGAGGGGCCTTTTCCAAGGGCTAATGATTACTGGAACAGCAGTAAAGGTCACAGCAGTTAGTGACTTGATGGTCAGCGAGGTGAGATCTACAAACACACATTATTGCATTGCAAAACTAAAATGGCAGTAATTCCGCATACTGCGCTGTTGACCCACCGATAATCACAGCAGGGGAAATGACTTCTTCCAACTTTGTGGCAACAGTTAGTGTTCGTCCCTTTCTTGTTTCAACATGAGTGTCCCCCTGCAGAAAGAGCTCCATAACTAAAGTGTGGAAGAACTTGACTGTCCTGCACAAAGCCCTGATCTCCACCTCATCAAAAACCTTTGAGATGAACTGGAATTCCAACTGCGAGCGAGAGCTTATCCCCCAGCATCAGCGTTGGACTTCACTAATGCACTTGTGGCTGAATTGGAGCAAACACCTGCTGGGGCGTCCTTGCGGCCTTTAGCAGTAAATTCCTGACCGAGAAACTCTCCCCCACTTTCCCTTCGCAGAATAAGGCACAGAATAGAAGGAACATAAGCTTCCTGTTTACCTTTGACCTCGCCAAGTGCGTTGTTGTGGTTGTGCTTCTCCTCCAGGCCTCCAGGACCCCCGTGTTCCTCCTGCCGCTGCTCCTTAGAGTCCAAGTGGAGCTCCAGTTCTGCTAGCCTGCTGTGGAGCTCCAGATCCAGGCTCAACCCGCCAGGCCCCGTCTGTCCTGCAAATGTCTCTCCAGACAGGAAATTAGTGTCCGTGACCAGCGGCGAGCACGGCGGAGACAGCGAAGAAAGAGACGACCGCGGAGATAAAGAGCTCATGGAGCGAGGGGTTTCTGACAGTTTGTGCACCTGGACGCCGGACGACACGGACTCCACTCCGACACCACTGCCTCCTCCTGCACCTCTTCCAGCAGAACACCCCACATCTCCTCCCACCCCGCCTGCTTTGCCCTCAGACCTCCCAGCGTCCCTCACGCCGCAGCCCGTCACCACTTCGTGTTCATGTATGGTGGTGATGGAGCTGGAGGGCCGGTAGCCTCCCTGGCCGCCCTCCTGCAGGAGGCTGTCCAGCTTGTTCTGGAAGTCCGGGTCTGCCAGCTCGGGCTGCTCCAGGTACAGGTCGGTGAAGCTGAGGGAGGAGGTGGAGCCCAGGCTGGAGGTGGTGGCCAGGGAACCGCGACTGGACGTTAGAGAGCCCCGACTGCTGCCGGACGAACAGGACAGAGTGCTGGCCGACAGGCTGCAGGAGAGAGGGAAACAAAAACAAAGATGACACGTCAGCAATTTAATGAAAGATGTCTCCTTTTTAAAAACTACTGGATGGGTTGTGCAAACATTCATAGTCCCCAGAAGATGAATCAAAATGAAAAGCCTTTATGTATAAAATGTGCTAAATAAGGAAACCTGTCTTGCCTTTTTACGCAGTAATAGCACATCCTTTAGGCCATGAGGGATTACTATCAGGAAGAAACTAGACTGACTTTCTTTCTCCCTAATTTTCTTTCCTCCCCACTCCTCATCACCTCAGCCCTCCTGCAGCTACCTCCCCACATACTCCTGACTCTGTATGAGCAGGTCTTTGATTAAAGCAGGAGGGCTCGTTAGCGCAGACAGAGAGGAGTTCCTGTCTGCTGCTGAGACTTTTGATGTCTATCATCGAATAGAGAGGATGAACGAGGATGATATGAGAGCAGAGACGGAGTGAAACTAGCCCGGGGAGGAGGACTGACACTGTTCATTTCACTTTCAACCTCAAGTGAAAAAACAGGACTTTTAAATAAACGATTCTGAAACATGTACCACTCTTACAGTGGCCTTGCGTCATCTCCTAAATATGTGATTCCTGACAATGTTCAGAGACGTGCTCAGGGATGGGCTGGAAAATTAGATTTTTAAGGAGATCATGACTGAAATCAAAGAGACAAGGAGAACAAAATGGCTTTCGTTCTTTAGCAAATGTTTGTCATTAAAGGTTAAATGCAATCACCTCTGCTTTGAATGCAATAAAATGATTCCTCTTCAGTGAATCATCAACAACTTTGTAAGAGACTTCTGTTCTGTCACCATGTTGCCAGATCTCAGCAAATTGGTGAGTGCAATTTTATTGTTACAAGAAATAATAATAAAGTTGTGAAGATATTTAAGATAATAATAGAAATGAAATGAGCGAACCTTTTGAGTTGAGTATGTAGTGATGTGGCCAGTCGAACCATCTCCTCCAGCTCTCTGACCAGCTTGTTCCTCTTGCAGTGAAGTCGCAGCCTGAAAATATACATATATATTTTATTTTTTTATTTTATTTGGTAAACATTTAAAAATTGTATAGTTTCATTTTCCAGTTAGCTACAATCCTTCAGGTGTAAAGCATCTTTAAAACACTTAAATAAAAGACGAGTAACCAAATGACAAAACAAAAAACACTGAACATAATCTCTGCCAACGCTGGAGGTGTGAGCTCCTGGAAATAAAAGCTAACAAGACATGACAACAGCGATGCGTTCAGGTATTATGAGCAGCTGCTTTGTGTTCAGGTGACAGCGGTGTCATTTGTTTGTATGAGCTTTGTTCATTAGAAACCAGTCCGTTAACAGCTGTTACTATGATCCAAGGTTTGAATGGAAACAGGCCAAAGACGGGAAGCCTTTGATCGGGTTACAGACAGCTGCTGGCAGTGTCCAACGTTAAGTGTCCTCTGGGCCAGTAGATCGCAAAAAAAGACATCTATTACAGGTGCGTCTCAAAAAAATTGAATATCAAGAAAAAGTTGATTTTCTTCTGTAATTTCATTCAAAAAGTTAAACTTTTATATATTCTAGATTCATTACATATAAAGTGAAATATATATTTCTTGTTGTTGTTGTTTTAATCTTGATGAATATGACTTACAGCTCCTGGAAATCAAAACTTCAGTATCTTAAAAATATTACAATATTATATATAATAATATCCATGGGGTCGCACTTTGCTCGCCATGAGAACAGATGAACGCTCCGCGAGTAAACGTCAGGTTAGTAACCATGGCTACGGCTTCTGTGCACTACCGAATCCCTGCAGGTGCAACTGTATTTTCTTTATAGGCTGCAGAAAACATTTAAACTTATCTTCTAGAAATTATTATGAGTTCATGACTAAATACTATAGCTACTACCTTTAAAATGTTGGTAAGTTTACACGTGACATTAGTTCAGTTAAGTACACTAACTAACTATCTGTGAGTAGGTCTGGTGTTTAGTTTAGCTGTGGACCAGCGTCCAAAAGTGGCACTCCAGCTGTGTAAAGTTATTCGAATTCAGCGAAGGTCATTGTGGGTACACCCTATCCTGACTTCAAGGAAACAGTAAAAAATAAATTCAGGAAATTTACAAGCGTAGAAAAACAGTTCAACACAATTCAACTCAATGGCAGTGGGCGGGCGTGTGAGTGGGACGAGCACGATTGCGAAAGTTTCATTTGGTTTCGCCCGCATGTTGCTCCCCCTGTCTTTTATTAAAAATTAATTACTAGACGCATCATAGGCTTCCTGTCTAAACAGGCCTTACAGGCCCGAAAGTGCCAGTGAATGGCAATTCACTCTAATTGGCCAGGGTCCCATAGTACTGCGTGAATATATATGTAATACCAGCTCTGATCTTGTGATGCGTCATCACCACAAGAGAATAATGTGTTGGTAGACGCAGAGGGTGAAATGCAAAGTACAGAATAAATGCAGTGATGCTGCACTTATCTGGTCTCTTCGTCCTTTGGTCGACTACCTTCAGGTGTGTTTCAGATTGCATCTCTTTCTTCGCAAAATTAACTCGTGTACACCGGTTTCAGGTCAAATTTGGGGTTGTCAGAAAAGGTGTCCGGAGGTATTTTTTCCAATGATAATGATAAAATATGGGTGTGATTTTACAAAAGCACCAACAACCATTTTTTCCACTTATTTTTCCTGATTAGAGCTCTTTTCGGGGTGCGTTCACACTGACTCTTTGTGTGCCTCCCTCTAATTTTGATGTTTTTCAGAAAACAACAACATCTTACACATTTGACATTATTATGTCTTATTATTCTTATATAAATAAAATTGAATCGAATTATATCCTCACACAATGCCCAGCAAGGTTTTGCACAACTTCAGCCTGAGTCAGAATACCTGATAATACCTGCGTAGGCGTATAGAGCCTTTAAAACCTCCAAAACAAATTACTTTGCCGTAGTCAAGGACCCCGATTCTGTGGATTTGACATCTTCAGAGCCTGCAGACACTAAATACGGGTGTGTGCATATTTCTTGTGTCAGTGTGTGTCTTGACAACTTTGTGTTATTTGTAGGTGGACTACAAGAGGTTCTTTTTGTGGCCAGAGTCTGCAGCCACTCAGGTTACAGGAACAGGAGATGAGTCACAAAGAGAGACTGAGCTCAGGTAGAGTCTGACCTGAACACCGAACAACAAGAGTTCTGTTAGAGGGGAAGAGGGGGAGAGAGACGCAGGATCTTGGTGGTTCTGGTTTGCTGCCTGCAGCTATTTAAGAATGGAGAGAGAAATAAAGTTTTAGAAGAACAGAGCAGAGAGAACATGGAGGTATAAAACACTGGAAATAGAGAGGGGGGATAAAGTAGAGGGAGAGGAGGAACTGTCATCTTCATCTCTAACTCTTAATAATTATCAGGGAGATTTGACGTCTCTAAAGGCCAAAGGAGTCAAACAGAAGTAAAGGTCAAACATTTCATCAGCAGATGACACAATAATGACCACAGTTACACACATCACACCGCTGTCATCAGCTGCTCTAACCTTCTCCATGACGCTCGTCTTCAGTCCACCTTTAGACTTGTAGTAAGACTATAAAAACAGAGTGGTCCTATGTCAGCCTTAATATCATTATATTAACTACTGTATTAACAAATTGTTGTCTTTTGTCAATACAAGGACTAGTCAAGGTCGCCAGTGGCAAGTTGCACCAGTCGTTCTTAATGGCCCAGTTAACTAGTTGGAGATTTACACCTCGCTGAATTAAAACACTTTGTGCCAAACAAACTAGTTCTTAAGTAGCTTTTTATAAAAACAAATCGATAGGATAGGATAGAGGATCCTTCCACGGTACAGAGAAGAAAAAGTCATATGGAATACAGTATCTCACATATCTGACCTGAGCCTCACCGTAATATCTGTACACTAGATTTATGGAGTGCAGGCTCCACTCGTCAAACTGATTTTGAGAACCTTAATTAATCAATGTCATCACAGACATACCATTAAATTACATGTCAAACAATTACAAAATATACCTTAAATTCCAAATTGCTAAGTGGATACTAATTTCCAATTTCGTAAATTAATTTGAAACTAGCTAGTAGAAAGAACTTGAGATTTCTGCTAGCATCTAGCTGATGCAACCTGGTCCCGGTTCTTGACAAAAATAGGAAGACAATCTGGACCTCTGAACATTATAAATAGGGCTGAGTTCCAATGGCTGGTTCCCATTTTGGATCCGGTTCCAAGTCTGTAAAATTGCTGGATTTGTTAAGCTCCTATGTAGAGCTGCAACAATTAGTAGATTTAGACAATTAGTTGTCAACTAAAAATAAAAATTAAGTTGATCACCAACTATTTTGATAATCGAGTCCTTTTTTTAAAGAAACAAATGTCCAAATCCTCTGATTTAAATGATTTAAATCTCAAATGTGAATATTTTCTGGGGGGTTTAAATATATTAACTGTAGAGTATATAAACTAAATATATATGTGCGGTGGGCAAAAGAAGACATTTGAGGACATAATCTCAGTTTTGGAATCACTGATCATCATTTTTCACAATTTTCTGGACCTAACAACTAATCAATTAATCAAGAAAATAATCAACAGATTAACTGATTATGAAAACAATTGTTAGCTGCAGCCCTACTCCCGTGCTAATGAATCTCTTTTCAAACGTATTGTCTTCTCACTCTTTCCTATTAGCAAAGAGCAACAGAAAAAACATTTAGTGAGCAGGCTTCTTACTTTCAGATCAGGTTTGTTTGTCAATTTGTCAGTTCTCTGTAGCCAAAGATTGTTTGCGAGTGAGAAGACGCTCTGTAACACCACTGTACAGCTGCGGGTGTTTTTGCAGTTTGACAGGGAGAGCTGGAGTGTTGACTCTCCCAGTTAAACATTGATTCATATCAGATCAATATTTTAGTCTGCTCAGTTTCATAGTCCTGAATCAGGACCTTCAGTATTTGAAGTAAGTAGCTGATGACGTCTACAGCTGTTCGTGTAATGTGTCAGATTCATATATTCTACCGCTCATCTCATTTCCAGGCTGTAGCTACAGGTTGTGAACATGAATTAGGCTGCCACTAAAAACAGTAGTGTTTCTGACTCCTCAGCCAAAAAAAGGCATTAGACATCTTAGACTTGGAGTTATTTTAGCCTTTAGTTACTTAGCAATTTGAATTAAAATCCAAATCCCAATTCATAAGTGATAAAAAAAAAGTTTCAGACTCAAGTCATGAGGTGTCAGGAATTATGTGCTTTGCTCTGAGATTGATTTAAAGAGCTCTGACTGTACATCTATGCTGTGAGATCCTAATGGTGGACAGACTGATTAGTGCAGAGACTTATATTCAGCCCCACCTCTCAGTCAGAGCCTTGCTCTGGTTGTCTCTGGCGGCCTGCAGGTCTCTCTCCAGGCGTTTCTTCTCAGCATCCAGCTTCTCAGCGTCGTTGGGCTCCAAGCGTTGACGGGGACTCACGTACTGCAGCTCCTTCAGCAGCTCCTCCTTCTCGTTAATGAGGATGAGGCGGTCTCGCTCCGGGTCCAGCAGCCCCGGCCACGCCTCGCTGTCTAGCTTGGCGATCTGAACCTCAATGGTGGCGATTCTGTGAGGGCAAGGGGAAAGAAGAAGAAGAAGAAGGAGAGGCAAGCAGGACAGGAATGTTGCGCAGAAGTGGAGAATGAAGTGAAGGAGAAAGCAAAGAAGGAGAAACAGATTTTAGAGACTGAATTATAGCAGACAAATTTGGATTCAGACTGCGGTCACATGACTTTTGTGCACATTTCCTACAGAGGACAAGAATTCCACCTTGACAAATGGATGAATAATTAACACACATATCCTCCTCTAAGGTGAGACACTGCAGGTGAGTAAAAAAAAATTAACTAATAGATATCAAACCACCATGAAACTTTCCTAGTTAATAACTTACATGAAGACAATATTTTTTGTATTACAGATTTTCTGAAATGTTATGTTTAAATAGGGAAATGAGGCAGCATCTAATGAAATCTATTTCAAGAACTGACCTGATCTGAATAATGGATTAAGTCAGGTTCAAAATTACTGTTTTATTTTGTTGACACATTATACTCAAATGTTTTTAGAGAGGGGATTTTGGATATCTCTTTTTATTATTTCACAAATTAAAAACTACTGTCAACAGGCATTAAAAAAAACTAATTTTTACCTGTTTTTGGGGAATAAAATGTCCCATAATTCATGCTATGAATGAAATATGAACAAACCCCTCAGTAAAAACCTTCAGAATAAAATCAGCAATATGACTGGAAAGTTTGGTGCATGCAAGTGCTGCTGAAGTGGAGATTTTAGTCTCAGAAAACGGCCTGTAAAGACAAATATTGTAAAATTCTACACATTTTCAATGACAATCAATATTGACAGCGTCAATAATTTCACACTTAGCTTAAATCCGCCTCTGTACTTTTAGGATTGGTTGCTGGTACAAAGGAAAGGATTATATTTGGATCCGACAGTGTTGTGCAGGAGGGAGAGAGCTTTCCAACGGTACTGGTGATATAATGCAGACAGCGACAGCGGGAGGACACATAACGTTACAAAGCTAACTTTTAGGAGAAATCTGCAGACAAACTGTAATAAAATAAACTAATAAATGTATATTTTGGACTAGTGTGAAAGAAGACGTTAAGGAAGCAAAGTAGCCCAAAATCTTAAAATTGGCATGCCGTGTCTCGCCTTAAAGTGTTAATCTTGAGCATAGTCCGCTCAGATGTTTAACGCTCAGGAGGCATTATGGGTACTGTGTTGAGCATCGTGCAGATTTCCACAGTAAAATTAGTCTATTAATTTTTCTATTTCTCTCAGTACTTTAGTGGCAGATTACTCAGAGCGTTCGCTAACAAAAAATCAAATTGAATTTTTTTAGATCTTCAAATGCTAAATCTAATCTACACAGGACAAAACAACAGTGAAGCGCGCGCACGCGCACACACACACACACACACACACACACACACACGACGCCCACCTTCTCTTGGCCTCCTCGTACTTCAGACTCAGACGAACCTTCTCTGCCAGTTTGTTTGTGCTGGTCATGAACTGAATACAAACACAATACAACATTAACACAATGACATGGTAGACGCTGACACACTAATTCATCACCACTGGTCAGATCCTTTACTGAAATAAAAGTACCAATACAACAATGTCAAAACACTCAAGTTAAAGTTTACATTCAAAATCATGAGGAAAAGCACAGTATTATCAACTAAATGTACTTAAGTACTAAAGTACTTGTTCTGTAGAAAATATCCCCTAGCTGATATATTATTTTAAAGGATATTTTCTGATTGTTAATACTGATGCATGAATGTGTATGAAAGCTTTTTGTCTAGCGAACAACACTTAAAACTAAATGTACTCACCAGAGAAAGTGAACAGCCAACTCCTAATAAGCTTTTTCAACGCCGCTGGTTAAATTTACACAGTGCCGTGGGGTACGAGTCTGCTCTAGCCTGACTGACAGGTCGCCATTGTAACGACTTGTCAATCACAGATAATCCTGCCCTGAAGCATACTCTGCTTTATGGGCTATTTTCCTCTAAATGGGACCATAATTTACTAAAGCAACACCATGCTGTGTTGAAGAAGACTTGAAGCTAGCGACTGAGACCATAAACTCATTAGGAAAGTGTTTACTGAGGTAATAAATCAGCTGAGAAGTAGCAACATTATCCCATTATTTCTAATGGAACCAGACTTCTTTTTGCAACCAGAAGAGTCGGTGCTGGCCGTTCGATAGAATGCAGGTTTAAGGGACTTCTGCGTTTGACAGTTCTCTGACCAGAAGCCTCCCGCTTGATTGAAATATACTGTAATAGAAATCTCACTATGGCCTAGTGTAATTTTCACACTGCAGGAGGTGCAATAGTTGTTAAAGGCAAAATACAATTGTTACTTTAAAATATTGTCACGCTGCAGAGACATCCTGGCCTACACATCATAATGTACAGACTTGAGAAACCATCTTTGTTTGGTACAAATCCTTGCAAAAATCACACCATAATCATTTAAATATGTTTTCAGAGGAAATTTGAATAATTATGTAAAAACTCACCTCAACCGGGATGTCAGTCTGGGAGCCGGCGTCGGAGTAGAGCCGAGGGATGGACAGCTCCGAGTTGGCGAGCGAGGGACTGCTGCCCCACAGCTCCTGCTGGGAGCCCGAGTCCAGCTGGAAAGCGTCCTTCAACACTGCCAGTTTCTGGATGAACAGAAGAGGCAAACAGGGCTGCTGGAGATTACGCGGATCAAAACATGAATGATCTGCAGGGGGAAACTGGGACACTGCAGCAGGCAACTTCTCAGAGTACAAAAACAGGACGTGATCAAGAAAGGACACACTAACAATAAAATACTGTTTACATTATCCCAGGCAAAGTTTCACAGCGAATAGTACGTGAGCCAGTTAAAAGGGAGCAGGAGGGGATTTTCCTTTAGAGAATTTAGTTTTCTGATCAGTGAAGAGGGGAGACAATGAAAGAAAGCATGGGGGACAACACGAGTCAACCTTAGTCTGTCATTCAACAGATGGAGAGAATTGACTTCAAGACAACAGGTTTATAGCCTGCTGATTGTTTATTATTATGAAGATACAACATAAGTGGGGAATACTGATGACTTTTAGCTTTATCGAGCTACCAAATCTGTTGTGGCCAGTTGTGATGAATCTCTCGTATATTTGAAGCTTGCTGTTGAATGCACATATTGTTGCTTTTCAGATGGGGAAGAAAATATCATTGCACCTGTATGATAATAGTAGTGTTTCAGTTATTTGATGATGTGTAATATCTGATCTCTGAGTTAGCAATGTTTCAGGTTAAAGGTACAGAATGGCAGCCCGAGGTAGGTGTTTCATTTTACATTTAAAAGATTTCATTACTCAAAAATCACCACTGAATTGTATGTTGGCCTGTAGACACATTTCTGATTTTTGCATGTTCAGCAGACCTGCTGAGGTAAAGACGGTCTAAATAATAGCGATAAATTGGATTTAATGAATTGGTAGTGTACTAATTGAATGCTGTCTCCATATCCCTATGATTAGTACCAAATTACATCCTGTCCAGGAAATGTCTGATGAAATGATTGTGAAAGGAAAAGAAAGCTTATTAGGTTTTTAAGCGCCCGGGTAAAACATCTGGCTCAAAATGTCGGTGAATCTGCTGATTCTTTTTACAATTAATTAATTGTTTACCATAAATAATTGTTTTTACATTGACGTGACGTCTTAAATGTCTTTTTTTGCCCAAAGATATTTGGATTTTTATCACATAAGAGAAAGAAAAGTTGAAGATCGTCACAATTGAGGAGCTGGAACTGGGGAATGTTCAGTATTTTGGCTTTTTTGAAAATTGAGTTCTATCAATCCTCTAATGAACAGAACAGAATTAATTGTTGCAGTTAGTTAGTGAGGTCTATCTGTAAGAATACACTGAAACTCTTTTTTCTTTTCTCTAGTTGTCCATCTCTCTAAATTTAAGCAATCAAGTATTAAGAAGTGCAAATGACTTGCAGATATACAACAACACATTCACACTCAATGCAGATACAAATAGATGCAAAGACACACAAACACATATGTGAACAGACAATCTCACAGACTGAGCTGTCAGCTGCAGATGGTAAGGGGGAGAAAGGGGGAGCGAGGGAGGCAGAGAGGAGTCCACAGAGGAGATTATGTATTATTGAATACGCTCTCCTCCCTCTCGCTCCAAACAAATCTGCAGCCAGACTTGCCTGATAAGACCTGAAATTTTAAATCTATATGTAAATATGGGGATGTAAGTTGGAATATTGTCAACACTGAGGCATTTTCATTTAGAAATGGAGACTAAAATGCTAAAAACTGTAATAGAACATTTATAGACACTGTCAAAAATGTTCTACTGTTCAATATGCCGTCCAGTCCTGTGTGTGTCTGGAGCATCAAAGAACATCTGCACTGTTAAGAAACATAAAAATGTTTTATAGGACTGAAATCTAAAATTGCACCCAGAGGAATGATCACGGTCATGTTTGGTATATCGTTCTTCTTTAACGGTTGTTGCAACCGTAGCGTGTTGCAGCAAACACATATCCTGTCCGTCTCCACTCTGCAGATAACTTTAATGCACTTTGCATGATGGAAGTATAGATGAGTTAACGCTGCACTGCGATGCTGTCATACACAATAAAGGACAAATAGTGATTAGAAATTAAGCTCCGACCTCACCCTCACTAACCCACTCAGAGGTACTCAAGAGTTTATGAGCATGAGCTACAAAGGAAATGAAACCAAAACGCCATCAGCAAAATTGTTTTTACTTTCCAAGGAACTCATCTGAAACTGATCCTGATCCCAAACACAGCGCACATCTTCTCCTGAGTGGACTGGACAGGCTGTCATCACAACGACTGAGCTGCGACACTAAAACACCACCTGCCTCCATGCAGCCTCACTAAATCTCCTTTAGTACATCTGGCATTTTTTAAGAGTTTTAACAAGCGTACAGACTCTCCAGAGAGACATCCTCATCTCCTCGCCTCACAGTCTGTCGTGTTTTCCTTGCTTCAGGAACGAACGAAAGCAGCTCAGGAACAGAACAGCCGTTTTTCAAAAGAACACAATAAACCTTTTGTTCAGGGTCAACTGATGTGTTGTGTTTACCTTCCATCCCCACTCATTTATCCCCACAACCCAAACCGATCTCTCAAAATAGAGCAGCAGAGGGACCTGGAAGCTGTTTACAAGGACTTGGTGCCCTTCTGAGGTGCTCTTGGACAAAGCAAAACTCAGTTGGTGCTGTTGTGCAGGTGACATTGACTTACCTACGAAGAATGAAAATGAAGACTACATCTTGTGCTTTGACTAGAAAATGAAATGTGTCACTGTAATTCAAATTGTCCCAACTAGAGCCACATTAAATCTTTTTCTTTGTGTGTAAAGATGCACATCATGATGTGGCCTTGCTATAATTTCTGACATGATCCACGTGGCTCTTGGTATCAGCTGTCAGTATGTGGATTATCTGTCTCCTCATCATCCTGCCTTCGGCAACCTTTAAACAATGCACAACAGACAACACACAACAGATCTGTACTAAAGTTTGCTCCTCTCATGTTCGAGTTCGGGTTTTTTGGCAGAAATTCAGTCTTAGATAAGAGAGATGAGACAAGATATTACAAAAACAAATTATAAGAACAAAAGAAGGTACTTTTTCAAAAAGCAGTCCCTCCAGGATTTCGCCTGGCTTTTTTGTCAGGTGGGGATGAGTCCGCCTACAGGTGGGAGATCGACCATCTGGTGACCTGGTGCAGCCAGAACAGTCTGAAGCTCGACACTCTGAAGACAGTGGAGATGGTCGTGGACTTCAGAAAGAGCCCAGCCCCACCCTCCCCCATCATCCTGTGTGACTCCTCGGTCACCACTGTGGACTCCTTACACTTCCTGGGCACCATCATATCCCAGGACCTCAAGTGGGAGCTGAACATCACCTCCCTCACCATGAAGGCCCAGCAGAGGATGTACTTCCTGCGGCAGCTGAAAAAGTTCAGCCTGCCAAAGACAATGACGGTGCACTTCTACACCGCCATCATCGAGTGCATCCTCACTGCCAGGGACAAGGGCAGGCTGCAGCGCATCATTCACTCTGCAGAGAAGGTGATTGGCTGCAATCTTCCATCACTTCAGGACCTGCACGCCTCCAGGACTCTGAGGCGAGCAGGAAAGATTGCAACTGACGCCTCCCATCCCGGACACAGACTGTTCCAGACTCTCCCCTCTGGCAGGAGGCTGCGGTCCATCGGGACCAAAACCTCTCGCCACAAAAACAGCTTCTACCTGTCTGCAGCTAGTCTCATTTACAAGGCCCGGGACCCCCCCCAAATAATACAATCGTCTCTGCACATGTAAATATCATTTCATGTCATATCATGCATGAACCTGGCACATTGCACATATTTGTTGTTAATTGTAAATTGTTGTTGTTATGTTTTTATATTTTCAGTATTATTTTTCTCTATTCTTCTGTTATTCTTGTATAACTTGCATTTTTTTATTACATATTTATATATTTCTACATCTATTTATGTCAGCTGTATGTCTGTCTGCGTGTAGCACCTTAACACCACAGCAAATTCCTTGTATGTGTAAAACACGACTTGGCAATAAAGCTCCTTCTGATTCTGATTAAACACTTGTAGACTTTTTCATTCCTAACCTATGTTCTTAAATCACACACAGACAGAGTTCAGTATCATGCAAACAAGAGAGTAGGCTACGCCCATCACTCTGTGATAAACTACCCTAACGTTTCTTCTAACCGCATATTTTTTTACCAACTTCCCTTGATTCTGTCAGAGCTTGCAACTGACCGGAATAAAACAGCCTGTGTCTCAGTGATTTATCATATCTGACGTCCTCTATGTGTTTCTGCCAGTCTCTGCGGCAAAGCGTTTGTCTTTGTGTTCGAACACAATAGCGCACGTTTTGCAAAACAGTTAACCCCTCTTTGGTAAAGATCCGGATACTGTCTCACGGTCCTTTGCTGTTATTTTTGTAGGCAAATGTGAGACGTTAGTATCACACATGTCTGCTGCGACTTGTAAACAAGGAAGCGAGCTGGCTGACGTATGACAACGTTTTGCTGGAAATGGCTGTGATAGGTGAAATTTGCGTTGATTGGTCAAAATTACAAGTTGCGCTGAATTCACGAGGATTTGTAGAATTTGTGTTAACAGCTAAGATTGTGCATTTTGTGAAATCCTGCAGGGAACGAATAAGGCCCAAATGCATTGAATTTGATTTTAGATCTGACCCCTTATTTGAAACACCTATTCTATTGGTCCTGCTATTATTTACTTACCTAACTTCATAAATTACTACATTCAGTTACTAAAGAGTCAAAAAAAATGTGCTTGGTATTTAAATTATTAAACATCGAGCTGAACTTGTGCTACCAAGCTGAGCCCGACTTGGCTTCTACTGTTTGTTCCTTCCATAACAAATGTCTTTTAACCTGCAAGAGTTCCTGTTTCTCCTTCTCCCCAGAGCTGATGGCGTCCCGGATGGAGCGGACCTCGCTGAGAATAGCCTGTGCCTCCTGCAGCTTGTAGCCATACGGGCTGTTGGACACCTTCTGGTCAATCCTGGAAGTCAGAGGGAGGGGGCAGAGCCAGAGAGGGAGGGGCGAGGTAGCGAGGGAAAGGCAGGGAAAGAGACAGGAGATGAAGGTCAGTTTGGATAATGATCAAGAACACTGTAAGTTGCAGTAGGGTTTCAGCAATCAGCACAGATCAGCTCATTCACCATCAGTTAGGGTAAGGAGCATCGGGTGGGGGGGTGGGGGACTGTCAACACCTTTAAGAGTAACATAGTTACTCAGTCAAGGAGTTACTCCAGTCCATAGACTGAAAATCCAGCCTCCGGTACTGCAGCTACATGCTACTCAACTGTGGGCCTCTCATAGCCTACTATTGCTGTTTGACTTAACTTCAGACCAAATGCATAAAAAAAAACATCTGCCCTAAGGCATTTATTAGGTTCTGACTGAGAAAGTGGGAAAGACTTCTGGACTCTGTCTTTAACCAAATCACACACATTTAGGCTATTCTATGTGATCTCCTTTTGATATCTGATGGTGCTGAGCGAAATTCCACAAAAGATAGGATTAAACAACCTCCTGCAGCACAATTCATACTCCCAACAATTCACTCTCAAAGCAATCCCACATTTAGTAAAGGTGAGTAACGCCTCCCAGCAGCTTGAAATCAGATGCAATACCTTCTTTTTTTTGAGGAAACCAAATCAATGACAACTGCAGGTACTGTACTCGGTCCTTAGAAGGTTCTCAGTGGCAAGAATTACGAGTAGTTGTCCTGACTCCTGACCGGTTTGTCCTGAAAATTAGACCTAATTAAAATAAGGCCTAGTTAAAGATTTAATACTGAATCGTTGTGTAGGTCTCTTGCTCCAGCAGGGGTTGCAGGTTATCTGTATATTGTGTCAACAGCGTTGTAACACTCGTGCGGTTTTCCCCTTTTTGTTTTCTTGTGGTTAGTTGAAGTTACAGTCGCGAGGACAGGGAAAGTGTAGCTTCAGGCAGCCACGGCGGAAACATCTTTAATTCAATTACTTTTTTTTTTTTTTTTTTTAATATAGCACCAATTCACATCAACAATTATCTCACAGCGCTAATAAAAGAGAAGGTCTAGACCGATATTATTTACAGAAACCCAACATGCGCGTTGCGTAGACAGATGTGACACTGCACTGATGAAATGGTAAAAGATCATGATTTACTCACTGTTACATTACACAGTTGTTGTGTTTTTCCTTATGACAGACAAAAATATTTAATTTTAGCGTTGTGTTTTGATTTCTACGCCCATTCTCATCTGGTCACCCTATTAGTGACAACGAAATTCCGATTTTATACTTGTTCAAGTGTCTGACAACAGAAAAGTGGAAAATGTTAATGAGAGCAACTAAAGCGTACAAGGTGTTCATGTATAACAGGAGGTGACTAAGCAGAGTAAACAGGGCTGTCTGTCCTCCACCTGTGCACACCAGAAAATGGCTATAATAATAAAATAAGAGGAAGAAAGAGGTTTAGCCATTCTCCTGTTGCTTAGACATTGGTTAGGTAACCTGTAAATGCTAATGTAAACGTAGATTGCTTCGCAGGTAAAATGCTTTTCACATACATCACTCCGAGGACAAGATCAAATGTTTGCTCAACTTGTAACTTGTAGGTAAAACACATGCGATCCTGTTTTTGGCTGTGGGCAGACCCGGCTGCTGGAGAGAGAACAGCCATCAGAGGCAGCAGCGCCTATGTAAACCCTGTCATCAGCAAGTCAAGTGAATAACAGGTCCTTCCGCATTCCTCAGAGAGGGAAGAGGGGGAGGAGGGGGAGGACAGAGAGAGAGAGAGGGAGGGAGGGAGGGAGGGAGACAAGGTACCGAGAGAATGAGGAAGTCAGGGAGGGAGAGCGGCAGAAAGAACAAGTAATCCTCCCTAAGTCCTTCTCAAACATGGAGTTATGTTGAGTGAAAACTGCGTAATGAACCTTTTTATGATTAAAATCGCAACAGACAATAACACAGAGAGAGACAGTCACACGCTTTAAAAGAGACTCTGAAATTCTACACTGTACATTTTAAATGAGTAAAAATAGTGTCTGTCTTGGACTTTCAGGTACGGTCGTGGTCTCGTGGTCAGGGGAGCCGTCCTTTATCTTGACAAACAAAGCTCCTGCTCCCGTTTTGGTAAACACCTGCTTTTCTGAAGTGTCAACACACAACAGAATCCCTCCACGTGTGGTGCCAGGTGATCTCTGACCTCAAACAGTCTGCAAATGTTTAAGCTGAAGAGGCAGGTTACTAATAATAGATTTTTTAGGCTGGTATTAATAATTGAGACTGATTTTTTTTTATTTAAACAGACAGTAAATTGACTGATTTAGGACTGCACTTGCGTAAAATTGAGGGGCTTGTGAGAAAGAACAGGTAATATTGGCAAAGCAGAGAGAAACATATCCTGAATTCTAGTCTCTAGTCTTGGTCAAGCTCCAAAAACAAAGGATGCTACACTTCCGATGATGTTCAAGATCAACTGTGTCTTCTGGTAAATATCCACGACTGTCAAACTCTTAAATTGTAATGCAGGTTTTCTGTTATAATTTTCCAATATGATCTTATATCTTATCTTAAAAAGCTCCTACAGAGCCACAGAGGATACTGTCCAACTGTTTCTACAGGCTGAGTAATGCTATAAGTACTACTAGCAGTATTTGCTCTCACTTTACCACAACACTGATGTAGGGTGATTAGATCTGGCTCTGGCTTTTTGGACATCCTGAAGATGTACATATATCTGTAAATCCTGAGCAAAAAAACAAAGATTACAGGAAAGTCTGGAGTATAACTGTTTTTATACTGTTACCCATGTTGTCTCTGTACCCTTCAGTGGAACACAGCCCAAACCAAGAAAAACAGACCCGAACAGAAGCGCATTAAAGTATAAGAACAGGGATGTCCACATACTTTTGGCCATATAGGGTAATAAATTGTCATTTTTCTGTTCTACATATGAGAAAACATCACAAAAACACCCTCTCATGCACCAATATTTTGTGAAATTTTATCAGAAACTGAGTGCTGCATTCCAATCTAAGCCTATTCGTATTTCTTCACACAGTGATTGGTTGTTGGATGCCGTCTGATGACTGTAACAGGAGAGGAAAGGTACGGTGGAATGCCGTCCAACCACTCTGCCTCAGCTACTCTTTAATCCTCCTGACACTCTCGCTGTGCTGTGTGAGGCAAGACAAACAGACCGGACATTCCTGTTCCAATTCAACATTGAACAACGGCGGATCGGCATGTTGGCTTTTCCAACGTGGTGAATTTCAAAAACAAGAAATCACAGACAGCCGCAGTATGAAATAAAAGAACAAATGGAAGAATGGACGCCATTCAAATCAACATTCCTGACTGACGGCTTCGCTGCTACACCTTACACTTTCTACACAAAAGAGCTCACTTCATATTCTGAGAAGTAGGTCAGAGAAAAGCAGTGTTTCCCTTTAAATCCACATTCTTCAGCTGTTGTTCCACTGGTGCGTTTTATAGAGTGTTTAATGATGGGATGGAATGTGTGATAATGCCAAGGCAATAACTGAGGCGATAAGCAAGCGCGATGGAATTAACTAGCATCGGCTGGAGCAACATGTCCACATTTACTATTTCAGTGTTGCTTAACAAGCCAAATTCCAGCAAGTGTAACATTACAGGAAGTCTTGACTCCCTTCTGTACTATACAACATTCCTGTGATGCCTGAGCGATCATGTCGTAGATAAGGATAAGAGGTCTGTTTCTGGACAAATATAGAAATTTAAAAGATGTCACCTTAGGGCTCTTGGAAGCTGCGATGGACATTTCTCACTGTTTTGTTTAGAAAATGGTTTCGATTGTTTACGGTTAGAAATTAAGATGTCTTAAAATGTTTTACCTAAAATGTTTAAAAAGCTAAATCCTAATAAAGAAATATGTAAGATAATTACAAGATAATTATATTGCAATTAACCTTTAGGAGGTGGCTGGAGATTGCCTTGAAACAGCACACACTTGTGAGTCAAAGGTGTTTTGCAGGCAGAAAGTGAAACTGTAAAGACTGAGGGAAGGTCACACATACACTTGCTATTCAAGTCAGATTATAACTGTCTTGCTTTGCTCGTCAAATTAAATTAGGAGAGCTGGTGGTAGCATAAAGCGTGAGGATCAAATCCCAGAGTCGGCTGTCAACAAACATACCTGTCAAAGTGCCCTTCGGCAAGGATTCAAGGCGGAGGAGCATAGACTGGAAAGCTTCCAGAAATGAATATACATGAACCGCAAATATCCCTTGGATAAAGAGAGGTAAAACAATGGGACAAGTGCGAGTGTGTGCGAAGACGTCGGGATGCAACACTTACTCTCTGAGGGTCTCGAAGCCTTGTTCTTTGTACAGCAGCTCCTGCTTCATACAGGCCAGGTCCCGCTTCAGCTTGTTCACCTGAGACACAGAGAGGAGAAAAACTCTTAGTTCCTGAAATATAAATAAGAATACAGCTGGTGATATTTTTATACTTTTGTTATTGCAAAAGCCCTTAAAAAGCCCAAAACCAACAATGTGTTGGTCCGTCTCTCAGTACTTTCTGACTCCGCTGCCCTGTCTGTGGCATTCAGCATCAAGCCCATTGGTTCTTACTGAAGATGTATACCTTTAAAAATAGGTCGCAAATATATGGTTTCATTTTTTAGCTCATCATTTTTCAGCACGTTATTAAAACAGGATTAAACGATGTTTTTGTAGGGGACTATTTTCAGCGGCGGATGAATCCACATTTGGTGCTCTAGCGAGTATTTGGGGCAGCAGGACAGTGTACATGGGTATGAGTCAAAATAAACTACAGTGTGTGTACAGTGTCATGGTAACGAATTAGATATTTTTGGATACCCACACAGTACTTTTTAGTAGATACATACATGCGAACTTTGTTAAAACCTAAGTTTAAATGAATCGCACAAAAACAAAAATACAATTACGACACTGGCCAATGTGGAATCCCGAGCCGAGGCTGGTCAGAACCGATCATCGGTCCAAATGATCCTGTAGTGTGAGGGCTTTACAGATGTAATCTTACGATAGCCGACTTAATCTTAAACTCCCCGATTTTGAATTGTGATATTTCCAATCAGAAACCCGCAACAGCCAATGAGAGCGAGCTGACCGGGAAGCGTTACCAACGTGTTGATGTAAAATGTATAAAACCGTGCTTTTTGTTTTGTTTTTCTGTGCAAAACATAGCACACAGAAGTGCAACAAGCTGACGACGACAGTCTGCCTCCATGTTTGTTTCATGTCTGACGTCCCGTTTGATCACGAGATTCTGTGAGATCCCAAGTCCCTGGAAACACCACTCTGAAATTGTTTGGTATCAACGCCAAGTGTGTGGTCCTGCGTCTGGACTGAATTGTCCGGTTTCGCGAGTTCTTATGCTTAAAATATTAACAAAAATCAGTTAATTATGTCGTTATGTCTGTGTTATCCCACGTTTTTAAAATTGGTTAAGATTTGAAAATAGTGTGCACGAGGCGTTATACAATTTCAACATTTGTGTTGTATCACAGTCTTGCTAAGATACAGGAGCAGCAGTAGTAGACAGAATAAAGGCTGCACCTAACGATTCTTTACATTATGACTTACTGTAATCTGCTAATTATTTTTCAGATTAACCATTTAGTCAATAAAATGTCAGTAAATAGTGAAAAAAATAATGACATTTTGCTTAATCAACAAATTATTTCAGCTGTAGACAGGATAAATATGACAGCTACTAACAATAAGAGTCTTCAAAGCTTAAATAATTAGTTGAAAAAACAAAACAAAAACACACCACCAACATTGATAATGATCATTTATTAGGGAAATGTGAAGATTTTCTTTGTTTTATGTTGTAGTAAATTATTTTATTTTGGGGGTTTTGGGACTGTTGGTCGAAAACAAAACAAGTGCTCTGAGAAAACCTTCTCCTTGTTCTGGACAAACAAACTACAGATCATGCGAAGAATATAATGGTTAGTTGCAGCCCTAATAAGTAACGTTTGTGTTCAGTGGATCAGGTATTAGCCAGACGCAGTACAAGTACGATAACATGGTCACGTGGTTGCAGTAGGAAGGAGAGGCTCTTACCCGACTTTTGGCTGTGGCTATTTCTGCTTTGAGGATGTCTGGGTCGTATTTGCTGGACGAGGACGATCTGGAATTCACTGCAAGAAAGGCAAGATGTGGAGAGACAAGACAGGTGTTCAAGATGTGGGGGGGGGGTTGTGTTACACGAAGGAGGGAAGACAGAGGAGCAAGAGAAAAACAAAACCATCAAACAAAGTTACTGTGGGGAAATGTGTAAGTAGCTATTAAGCTGAAGCAATTTGAAGAGAAACGTCAACTTCTTTCTTCTGTCAAGACCTTGGAAAATCTGAGAAAGTATCTAAGAATAAAATGACGTCAAAAGAAACCTATAAAGCATTTCCTCCTTCCTCATTTTCCTTTCTCTTGTTTCCATCAAAGGGACAGTACTGTCCAGGTGCTTTCCACTCTGTAAACAGCACAACATCGCGTGTCTGAATTCACCAAACTTGAACGCACAGGTTTACTTTGATTCCCCGACTGAATCCACCGACACCGACGTAAAGCTGCTACTACCAATCATCTCGCCCTGCTGCTTTCCCCTTCTCATGATGACTGATATTATGACATCATATGACAATAAACTCAGAATTAGCATAAGCCACCACTGTTTTGTTACCAGCTGTGTTGGTGCTAAACATGAGTCTGAAAAAGGAGAAATTTGTCGACTGCTGCAATTAATAAATAGCCTAAACGAAAGGTTGTTGAGTCTGTTGGTGCTTATCTGGTCCGTTTTGTTTTAACAACTTGTTTTTTACCAAAACACACTGCTTTGTGGACAGTAGCACTCAATAAGCAACAACAACCTCTTTTATAATTTTCTACTCTTATTTTTAATTATTTTACATATTTCATTTTCCCCTTTAATTAACTTATCTTTTTTTTTTTTTTCTTACCTTTCATTGTATTTATATATTTCCATGTTCCCTTTATATTAATTAATTTACTTATTTTAAATGTTTTTGTCTTTGTTTCTCCTTAATTTCTCCGTTTGATTTTCTTCTCTCTCTCTCACTATTCTTTTATTGAATAGTTGTGGACATTTTTTGCTAAGTCGTGCATCAGGAGCACCTTTGCTCGCCTTACATCGCTGTCAAATCCAAGTAGCATTTGTTTTTCTATTCTGCTTCCAATTCCCACTTCCAAAAATATACCTAAAACAGGGCTGATCGATTTGGGGGAAAAATGTAATTGCGATTTTTCTGCCAGATGTTGCGATTACGGTTCGATTTGAGATTGTGTACATGTGCATATGTAACGTTAGACTGCACAGAGCGTAATGGAACGGTCTCACAGAGAGCTCTTATCCGTAGTTGAAGCACACAAAATGACAAATTAACGACAAGTCAACAACGTGTAGGCTAAACGCTCCGCTGCTGAAACACGTCAGTGAGATGACGCTGGCCAAAACGGCGGCACAGCCTTTGTCGGTTTCGCTGGCGCCATTATCCCACATTTTCCTCCAGTTTCGTTTGTTGTTGTAAAATGTACACGCCCTGTGCCCGTTCTGATTGGTGAGTAGGACCGTAACAGGAGGCGCATTTCGCTTGTGATTGGCGAGCAGATCAGAACGGAATGAATCTGTAACTGTTTAAAACGGGTCAGATGCGCTATATAACTAACCTACATTTTAATCGGCGTCTTCACGATTAGCTAATCGCGTTCTTTCAAATCGCAATTTCAATTTGAAACAATTAATCGTTAATCAGCCCTAACCTAAAACGAATTGAACTACACCACGTCTCCTCCTTCAGTCCCTCCACAGTACTCACAGCTGGTCTGTGACGTCGACTTGTCCCTCCACGTGTCATTAAGCTGCCGGTACTCCTGCTGCGCCAGGCGGAGCCTCTGCTCCTTCACCTGGTAGATCTCCTTCTGGGCACTGAGTGCATCGTGGGCCACGGCCAGGTAATCCCGCAGCATGGTCTCCTGCTCCCGCTGCCACTGGGCTCGCGGGTCCTCCAGCTGGGTGCTCTCTGGAGGAAAAGAAAATGAAGAGGAAGAAAATGAGTGGAGGAGGAGGAGGATTTAGATCTGGCGGGATTTTAAAGACCAACATGTTCATCAGTGCTGCAGTGTTGTTTGAGTAGTTTAAATCAACAGATGTCGAATATAGATAACAGCTTTAAACATGACTTGGCCAATCAGAGATGAGGGGTAATAGTAATCAGACTTACCACATTACTTTTATTTATTTTGGTTAACTTTAACAATGAATCATTTTCAGATTTTGCTAAACAATGTTATCATTAGAACAACCTCACCATTGGTTCCAAAATTGGGGTAGTAACACAGCTCGTTAAACTCATCTTCATAATTTTCCGTAACAGGAAAATGCTTGAGAGAAAACACGGGACAAGCAACATGAATGACACGGGGTGAAAATGGAGACTAAAGACGGGACTGAGATGAGAGTCGGACAAAGAGCAGTTAAGAATAACAGAGACTAGAAGCTCACTGGTGTTGTGGTCGACATAGTACGAGCCGACGATGGGGTCGTACGCCTCCTCCCACCCAACTGGCAGCTCATCCCCGATGCAGTCTGCAAACGTCAGAGGCTTCGTCTGCCTGAAGAAAACAGAATCAGAAAACAGAGTCAGGATTCACTTCAACGTCCCAGATCTCATCAGTCTAGAAGACAGAAAATCATCTCAATTATAACCACAATATTTAATAGCTACATATATGCATTTGTCTCTTGGTACATGTAATAATACCTCGAGAACACAAAGTACAGTAACACGTACACAGCGTTCAATGGTCAGTTTTTAACAGAGCCTCAGTTATTATTCAGCATAATTAACATGAAGTTAATCAATAATCAAAATAACTGCAACTCCTCTGACAAAATGAGACCAGTAATAATTACTCTGTATTATTATTATTATGTAATATGATTAAAATGTGTCCAAACTGGTCTAGGGGTGCGTGTGTTAGATGATAGAAAATGTCAAAATTAATCTTACTTTTCACTGCAAATTCATATACAATGAGTAAAGATATAAAATAGTTATAATAGGTTAAATATTTAATGCACTTAAATGAAAATGTTAAACCAGCTTTTTGCAATTCATCGCAGACTGCTGTCACAACTTTAACTCTGACTGTTGCTGTTCTCAGTGGCAATCTTGATTATCCATTAATGCTTTCAGTCATTATGAATAAATAGCATTAGCTAGTTTGAGCTTCTCAAATGCTTTTCTGCGTTTCACATCATTGTAAATTAGTACCAAATTTAACAGACTAAATAAGCAGCATCACGTTCAGCTCTGGGAGGATTGGTATGTGTCACTGTTTTCACACATCTTAATAAACTTTTGATTTAATAAGCACAAAAATGATTGACACACAAACAACGTATTGACCGTAATCATTGGTTGTAGCTCAGCAAGGCCAAGTGATCGACGCTAAACCACCAAATTATGATAATGAATCGACACACTCAGCTCCACTGTGTACGGCTGAATCCTCAAATACAAATCCCCAACGGTCATCAGCAGGAAAGCACACAAATTAAATGATTTATTAATGTGCAGACATGTTGGGCAGACATCTTCCTCAGTATGCAAACCACAGAAACATACCAAACCTTAACAACAAATCCATGTGACTTTCAGTTCACTAAAACTTATGAATGTGTGTTTACATTGAGATTATTAAAGTTATATATATCTTTCCTTTTTTCTGAAATTGTTTAGAGCTGTAACAAATAGCTCACTAATCTTTATATTTTGATAATCAGTTATCGTTTCAGACATTTATTTAAGCAAAAATGGCAAAAATAAAATGTTCAAATGTTCAGATTTGTAGTTTTTTCTTTGTATTGTTTTTCACTGCTGGTCAGACAAACGGCTAGTTTAATATGTCAACTCTTTGGTACAAGTCACAGCCTGTTTTCATAGTTTTGAAAGACCTACTAATTAATGGCTTAATTAAGAAAATAATTAGCAGATTAATCAATAATATATTCTGCAGTAACCACAGACTGTATATAAGAAGTGAACGTAATCATCGTGACGTCGCCCATTGGTTTGTGGACTGCTATTTTGAAGCCTCGCATTTGACCATTAGGGCGTCGCCATGTTGATTTGTTGCAACCAGCACCAACGGACGTGACCATATTTGGAAGAGATGGTGGAGCAAACGGCTCAGTGTGGAGCTAGCTAGCTTGCTTAGCTAGGTGCATCTGTAACTCACGTTAACTGTCATTTTAACAGGGCTGACAATTTTGTCTTAGCAAACAACAGTCTTAAAACAAAGCCATAAACTCATTAGGAAAGTGTTTGCTGAGGTAAATCAGCTGAGAAGAGTAGCCTCATTTTACCATTATTTCTAATGGAACCAGACTTCTTTTTTGCAACCAGGGGAGTCGCCCCCCGGTGGTCGTTCAATAGAATGCAGGTTTAACGGACTTCCGCGTTGGCTTCACTTCTCAGCAAGCTTCCTGCTTGGTAGTAACCCTAAAGTGGTTGTAAATGGACTTTGACTTTTCTGGTCTACTGACCACTTGTCACATTCACACACACACACACACACACACACACACACACACAGACACACACACACACACAGACAACGCTTTGACTGGACTGGGGGAAGCTGGGAATTGAACCCATACACCAGTCTACCACTTGAGCCACAGCCGCCCACATCGATGCTACATTTATCACAGAAAGCAGCCTTCTATTACAAAACCAAGCCGTCAGATCCACGAAAAAACACGGTTAGTAGTCTGAATAATAACCAAACTAAAACACTCAGGGTGTTCGCCTGAAAGTACTTTCAGCAAGAGGAGGTGGGTTGAGTGTGTGTGTGTGTGGACTGGGTGGGGGTGGATAGTCTGGTGTTTCATTGAGTTCCCTATTCACCTCCAAGGGGGGGAAGCAGAAAGGGTGGGGGGGGGGGGTCCTTCTAGACAGCTACAATAGGAGGAAGCCGGCCTGTGGCATTCCACAAGCTGCACTGACGCATCGCCTGGAGATTTCTGGGGCAACCCTCGTGTTACAGCCACATCGCACGGAGTTCACTGCAGCTGTGATGATGAATTTAACTGCCTTTTCATGTTTGTTTTCACATATCTGCGTGAGTGTGCCAGTAAGCCGCAGATTTTAATCCTACCTGGATTGTTAATAATGATGTTGTTCAATTTCTACGGCATCATGCATGAAAATCACCATGTAATGAACAGAATGTGTGATACAACCAAAATATTCCTTACATTTCTCATTTTTATCTAAAAACTTTGTTGCATTCCCTGAAGGTTTAATATTCATTAAGTCTTTAGCAGTGTACTGCATGAAACTGAATCCAGATCAGATCCTTTGTTCTTCTAGGCCCATAGTATAAAGATTAGACTTCAGAAGACTTATTATAAGCTGTGCTGCAAGATGTAGTGGTTTTAATTTGTACCAATCAAAGGAAATATCAAATATAGATGGGGGGGAAAGTGTTTTAGCCACAATGGGCCCATTAGTACTTTTCTAAGCTGTAGCTCACATTCAGTGAAAATATCTGCACCATTGTGGTAATTACAATACTTTACATTAAAAGTGGAATTCTGTTTAGTGTTGACTAGGACTGAAATGATTATTTTCATTTGATTATTTTCTTGATTAATCGATTAGTTGTTTTGTTTGGTCCATAAAATGTCACAAAATGGTGAAAAATGTCAGTGTTTCCCATTGTTATGTCCACAACCCAAAGATCTTCAGTTTAATGTCATAGAGGAGGACAGAAACCAGAACATATTCACATCTCAGAAGCTGGAATCAAATACATTTTATTTAAAAAAATGACAAACCAATTAATCCATTATCAATAAAAAAATTGCAAATTAATTTAATAGTCGACAACTTAAAGATTTTATTAATTGTTGCAGCTCTACTGCTCTGTTGTTGTCTACTTATGGTAAGAACGACAAACTGCTGGCAAGCTACATCTGACTATCCAAGCTGAATATCAGATATCATCTACTGTATATTGAACCCGTTGACAGTCTTCACTTTAGTTGCTAAGCTAATGCTACGTTAGCTAATGTAATTACTTCACAGACTGATAGGACAAGTTACTGCTCAGCCATGACTGTCCAGAGATCTCAATTAAGGTGATTAAAGTATTGACGCAGCGTGCTTATAAGTGTAACTGAGTGATTTAGCATTTGCTAGAGTTAACTTTCTCCAACGGCCAACTGTTTCATTTTGTAGTTTAGCTAGCTGACACAGCTTATACAAAAAAAACAACTTGACTTTTTTGAGGACAAGGAGGATGTAGTAGGTTGCTTTTTAGGCACAGAGAGGTTGTAGTAACGAGTAACTTAAGGGGGGGAAGTATTGTTTTCGTGCGAGTCTTGAAACTCAAATTTCATATATAAATGTAAGAAACCCCACTTTGCATTAATTTCACCATGACAACTCCTTCTCTTTGGCTTTTCTCCTCCTCCTCTTGTGTTTCGTGACTGCAGACAAACACAAACACCGAGCAGTGGCTCACTGCTGAAGGGAGAAACTGAACTGGGTCCCTTTTCAGCTGATGAATAATGAAAGGGGCCCGGAGAAGACCCCCTCAGCTCGGCTCTAAATTTAGCTCTGGAAGACAGGGAAGCTTCTGCCAACCGCTGATCCCAGAAAAAGATGGCTGGTTGGCTGACCGTGGATCCACATCCCATTAGTTGATTCCCTCTCACCGACTAAATCCTATCCTGTAACCGTCAAGCTGAGGGGAGTCGCTGACCTAAACTCGTCGCTCTCCGTCACAGTTTCCCTCGGAGCGAAGGACCAGCTGGTATTTCGCTCCCCTGCCTCCATTTCACTGTCAAGTCATTCAATAGCCACTTGTAGTGCTGCTCACATGCTTCACTGCTCCAGTGCTCAAACTGCCAACGATGGCAGCCCCCACATACTAGGAACAGGTAGAAGAGACAAAGACTACTATCGAGGTAATAATAAGCAAATACCTTGATAAGGCCACAACAACAAGGAAGAAATGTTCTATTATATGTATTTCCCAAGGCCTGTGAAAAGTAGAAATCGATGCATTTTAATACCTCAAAAGTGACTTTTTGTTGTCCGATGTGACTACTACAAGACCACAGAAGACAAGGATTCAACATAAAGCCACTGGGATGTGCTAATCCAGCAAATGTAATCCAACACACTAGCACATTTCATAGCCGTCCAATATTGGACAATGGAGGATCTAAGGACAGAGGGTAAAAGACTTTGAGGCTAATTTTGCTGATGGCCCTAGGATGTCTACACAGGCTGTTGAGGCAAATTTCACCGAGGAGTAAAATTCCCACGGTACATACCAATTCAATACCACGGTTAAAAACAAAAAACTAAATAAATAAATCTCACGTACTTCAACATAAAACTCCTTTAATAAAAACATTTGAACATAACAAAAAGCAGCTGTGCAAGTTGTGAGAGGGTATTGTGAGTCAATATTCATAAATGAGCAAGCTATTGAAATCACAACCTTGCAATGTGCATAACTGATTAATTAATAATTAATTTACTGAACTTTTCTTTACAAACTCACAGGTGTGAAATGTTTAAGGGTGGTCACTA